TCTAAAAAAAAATTTTTGGCCAATCGTCCCACATTTCATCGAATCGCTTTCGAAATATTGAAATCGGTTAAGTCGTTTCCCAATTTTGGTGACAAATGACACAAAAAAGCAAAATGAAAACAAAATTAGCTAATCGGATTTTCTGGCGGAAATGAACTTCTTCAAGAAGTCTATTCGTCGAATTAAAAAAGAAGGGTTAAAAGAGAAACATTATTCATTATTTATACGTTTCAGCACTTAATGTGATCATTCATTGCATCAAACCAGGGCCAAAACGCTAATAAACTTAACACTTGTAATAGTTATATAAGAAATTTATTAAGAAAAAAACACAAAAACCAATCATTTAATTCATAGCAAAGAGATGCTTGCTTATGTGTTGATATGATATTTAATAAAAAATATTTTAGATTTTCAATTAAGATTTTCTGAAAGAATTCAAAACAAAACTTCTACTAATACTACTTTTGTTTTATTATAGGAATTTTAACTGGTTCAGTATATAAAGACCACGGCCTAATGAAAAGTGGTTTTCCTGCTGAGCAAGTGAAAAATAATTCCGTTTTAGTTGTAAAGACACACGAATGGGGCAACGACGCTAGAAGTCAATTTTCTAAAGCGATACTTTTAGTACGATCACCAGCCGATGCAATTTTAGTAAGTAACAAATAAATAATAATAACTAGTTATTATTGGTAACTAGCTAGTTGGTATTGGTATTTTGCCTTGAGGCAAGTTACATGAACTTCCAGATATGTGTAAATAATGGACTTGATAAATAAAAAATAAATTAATTTAAAAATAATTAAAAGTATTCCGAGTGGATTTATTACACATAATTGAAAACGAACTAACACATTAACTCGGAGTATTTTTTGAAAGCAATTTTCACAAATCAATCATTTTTATAATTGAACCAGTTTCCATAGGAATTTAATGACTTAGTATGTTTATTAAGACCAAGTACTCTATCGTTATACCAAGTAAATCGTCTAATTTTAATTTTAACAAACGTCACAAAAAACTACTCATTTTCTCAAACTTTGATGAATTTTGACTACTTATCGTAAGGCCGTAATATTTCAGTAAGTTCTATAAGACCAAAATATGTATCGCCAAAAAAGTTCCATAAAAATCGGATTAAATTTTATTTCAACAGTTAATTACAAAAAAACTTCTCAGTGAATTTTCGCCTAAAACTAATCAGTGTAATTCCCAACTGATACCGTTCGAACAGTTTTTGATTTTTTAAAATCGATTCGGTAGTATGAGCTTAAATGTGGACGAAAAGTTTAACACTTGTTTCCAAATTACAAAGAAACGGCTTGGTAGGTCGTCTCACTGACAAACGATAGTCCTCATCAAGATACATCTTTTAAAATGGCTTTTAAAAGTTTGAAATCGGGCCAGCCGTTTTTGAGAAAACGTCGATTTACGGCAAAAAAATCTGTTCACACACACATAAACATAATTTTTCCAAACTTGGTCTCATTCGATTCAGAATGGCTTGAAACGTCGGGAAAACAAAATTAGCAAATCGGATTTTTTGATGAAAACAAACTTCTCCTTCGGGAAGTTAATAAACATGTTAATTTATTTATGGCTTATGTTTGAATGACTTTAATATATATTATGATTATAATTACAAGCCAATTATAACGGCACTTCTTTGTAATTCGTAAAATATATGTACTTGGGATTATTCATAATTATTCCGTTTTTCTTTTTCCAGGCGGAATTTAATAGACAAAGTGGCGGACATATAGGATTTGCCTCAATAGGACGATACAAGCGAGCAAAAGGGAAATGTTAGTAACAAAAACAAGCACAAATCATTAAAAAATCTAACTATAATTGATAAAAAATTAATTACATTTGATTAGATTGGCAGCAATTCGTCACTGACAAATTATGGACATGGGAACAAACGAATTTAGATTGGGGCAAAAATTTCACAGGGCCGGTTGAAATAGTACACTTCGAAAAACTAGTAGAAAATGTTGAAGGCACATTGCGAAAATTACTTCAGTTTCTGGAATATCCAATAGATGAAGTAAGTAACATTAATTATATACAAAATAGTTTTGAATATAAAATGTAAGTTAGCTAACTCATTAATATTTTTAACTTTTTATTGCAGTCTTTACTGTCTTGTGCAGTGTCTCGAAAAGAAGGTATTTACCGAAGAAGCAAAAAATTAAACAATTTTGATCCATATTCAGCAGAAATGAAACAAGCTCTCACAAAGAAACGGGAGATAGTTTACAAACAACTTGGTATTGAGATCAACAACGCCACAAACACAAATCCATCCTAGTTAATGGTCCAAAATTTTAATAGAATTGCTAAAATGTTCTGCAATTTTCGGTTATGCTGACAGGATCAAAAAAAATTTAACCAAAATTTAAACCAAAGATATTAAAAAGAAGATTGATCATAACAGTTATATCAAAGTGATTAAAAGCAGATCTTGGCGATGGGTGACAATGCTGGTGAAATTGATTGGAATGCTGATGAATAGGATCGAGGGTGAATTTTGGACTAACAAATTATTTTGTCGGTGTTCTGACATAGTAGGCCGCAATAAAGTTTCTAGTTCAGCTCTCATATACTTATATGAGTAAAATATTATACAAAATCGTCTATCCATTCAATAGATGAAGAAAGCATAACTAGAAATCATAACTCATCTCATTCCAAATTTAAACAGCAAACCACTTAAGTAAAACAAACACATATTAAGACATTAAATACTCGTAGGAAAAATAATAATAGTGATGTTACAATGTTTTAAATTTTTATTATTCGAATAGCTTGTATCCACAGCTTATATAAATGAAGTGCAAGTTATTCTATATTGTAAGACATTTCCATTGATTATGATGTGTTTTAAAAAATCAATATACGCTTTTTAAATAGGATATGATTGAAAATAATGGACATTGTTTAAAACCGTGCGTAATAGCGCACATAGCATTAAAAAAAAATTTGTACTATGAAATGTATTTAGTTAAATAAAATTTACTTTAAGCGTTTGCAAGTGAATAAACGTGATTAATGTTTAAATATATAAAATAAATGTTTTATGTATATTATTAGAGACTAGTATTAAAATGGCTTTTACGAAAGCTTTCTCAAGAAGCGCCGTTATAAATATTTTGTTGTGTCGGATTTAATTTTAAGGAAATACGTAATTATTGATCACAATAGTCATATTTATCAAAAACCATTGTGAAATTACCTAGAAAAAATGTACTCACTACCTACATCATCAAAACTGAATACGGATTTCTATTCACATAAGTTGTTTGGCTAATAAATCAGAAACAAATTCAATATATTTTCATTTCTAAAAACAAAATCTTCACTACTCGTTTTATGTATAGATTGTTAGTATTAAGATTTATTACGCTTATTTTAACTATCAAAGATATTGCTCATCTAAAGATATTTGAAAGAAAATATTATTAGTTATTCTGATAATAGATCATACTGTATCACTAAAACTTAATTTGTTTATTATTATTAAATATATGCTATATTGAATACTTAAATGTAAATTAAAAATTTAGGTCCTGCAATGGTTTCTCAATAATTTTTACAATTCGTATGAAGCAATTGTTTTATAATGTAAGTTGAATAGTTTAAAGTGCAGTAAATTAGGAGATATAAATGTTAATGAGTATATGTTGTATTCACGTTTTTAATTATTATTTAATGGTGCCTGAATAATATGTTAAGATTAATATTAGAAATAACTGTGATGTGTGCCCATATGACAACATATGTATAATAATTGTCACATAAGTTTAACAAACAAAAATTACCAATGGTTTGATCCTTGTTTCTTGAACTTTGCAAATAGTGTAAAATTACTATTACCATCAATTTAAAAAAAATACTTTAATTTATATTTATATAAAAATGTGTGGAAGAAACACATTATCAAATTTAACAACAATTATCAATTTAATTAAAACTTTCAAAGAGCTATTTCAAAATGCTGCAATTTCACACCTCAAGAACGTTTCTACGTAATTTAATCATATAACCAAACAACTCATATTATTGAAACTAAGTAATACACAAAAGTACTTTGCAAAAGATATCAGTCGAAAAATAATGGATCACCGCCAAATGAGATATATGCATATTTTTTATGAGATTCACATTCGTAAAACATCTTTGAATATATTCTTGAATGTTTTTTTTCCTTAGTGTAAATTAAAAATTTCAACATAAAAAAAATTTAAGATATAATGAAAAAAGTATATGAAGCATTTGATATATGCCATTAGCATAATTTTGAATATACATACTAGTACAATATTGAATATTTATGTATTTACAAACAAATTTAAATATATATGCATATTTCTCATTTCAATGTAGGTAGTTCAATTAAATCCAAACCAAAGTATTAGTTATATAAGGAAATGCACAAATAAAGAACCAATTAAAAAAATAATTTAGAAAGTGTATAATAATAAGTGCAACTTACACCCGTAATATTAAAACCTTAAGGCCAAAATCGAATTAATAAAAAATCTGGCTTAATATAATTCATCAATAAATTCAAAAATATATGTAGTGATAAATTATTTCAAATTAATTATTTAAAATCAATTTTTTTCAAATGATTATGGATGATTTCTACCTGACAAACTTTAGAAATGACTACATGGAAAGAGAAAAATTATAATTATGTATTATAAAAGCCGTGATTTATTTTTTACTTTATACTGTTGATATGATAATAGTATTTTCAGGCCTAAAGTCATTATAAAATTGATTGTATTAAAACAAGTTATTGTTTTTAAAATGACTTATCAATTGCACAATAACTGTTTGCTATGAATATGCACAGGATGTCTTTGTTATATGGAAAATACTAAAATAATAAATCAATGTGATATTAAATTTTCTTTTTTTATATGTACAAGTACATTATAAACTTATGCTATGACCGTAACTACTGATGGCAGTAATATAAATAGTATTCATTATAAAATCGCTACTTATCATAATATTTTAAACTAATATTTTACCTTGGATAATATAAAAACTGCAAAGTCTTAAAAAATGTGGAAATTGAAGAAGTCTTGTAAAATATACACATATAAAAAATTCAGTACAAAAATGTTGAACATTATATAAATGAAGGCAAAAACTTACAGGCAGTTATATTGTTTAAATATTATACTATTTCATCTCTAAATGCTAAAGCGGTGATAGCTTTTTGATGGCCACTGTATTTTCTCTCAACCTCTCCAGTTTCCACACTATACAGCCTTGCATAGTTGTCAGAAGAAGCTATAATTATAAGAAGAAATCTAATCAAGGGAAAAAACATTTTAGTATATCACAAAAAAAAACATGTTGTTGCAGGTCTAGCCATGTTACTTAATTCTAATTAGTAGTAGTAGTACAGATTTTGGCAGCAACTTATAAGAAACCTTATCAATTTCGTAAAGACAATATTAATAAGAATATAACTTACCAGTAAAAATATATTCAGAGTCAGCACTGAATGCAGCATCCCACATCCACCTCATACTGTCACATCTCAATTCACGTACCATTGTAAAATCTGATGTTCTCCAAATTCTAGCTGTTCCATCAGCAGAAGTTGTTACCAATAATCTTTAAATGTCATGTGAAAATTTTCATTATAACACAAATCATTAAACAAATTATGCATTCTAAATTCCTCCAAAATTATAATTTATCAACAACTCTACAGTTATTTTCAACTATTTTCTCAACAAAAATGTTTTATGAATATCGTATTAAATATTATATTATTTCTGTCACAACTTATTTTTTAAATTGCTTATAAAATACTAATATTACTAATAAGAATAGAACGCTGCTAAGAAGATGCCCAGATGAATAGATTGGTTTACTTACGTTGAATCTGGACTGAATTTACATCTTAAAGCATATTTAGGGTGAGCTTCTATATGTTGTTTTGGATTAAGTTTTGTGGGCTCCTCTGGATTTCCACTATTCAAAGACCACACAAAACAATGCCCTTTATTATTTACAGCTGCCATTAAAGTTCCTTCTGGATCAATTGCAATGTCTTGGATTGAGGCTTCAGCTTCAGGAATCTAAATATATATTTCATATTGTTGATTTTCATTTGAGAAAATCACTAAAAGCTATGAAAGTGCAAGTGTTAATTTTTACACTTTACCAATTGTTCATTATGATCAGTCTTCAAATCCCAAAGATGTATAATACCACTTTGATCTCCAACTAATATTTCAGCTTGATTTGGATGTAGACAAACAGCATTGACAGGTGACGATACTTGAAAAATTCTTTGGCATTGTAAATTACGTGTTCTGATGTCCCAAATTCTAGCAGAGGAATCTTCTCCGCCTGTGTACATCCATTTTCCATCTTCTTGAAATCCAACTCGTGTTATATTTTTTGAGACACCTTCACAATTTATGACAGGACTTTGATTTCCAGAACACAGATCGTACATTCTAATATGTTGGTACCCACATGCTGCTAAAAGCTTTTTATCTGGAGTTATATCTAAGGCATTTACTTGCTGCAAAAATGATAATGGAAATAGAATAATATTGTACTGTCTACAGCCTAAATATAAATCTAAATCAATAATGTATGATATAATATTTATATTACACTGAAGAGAGAAACACCACAATAAATAGTAATTTAAAAACCTAAGTCAAAAACTATTCATAATATTACTATGATTGCAAATTAGCAAACTGTACGGTACGTACACCCTACCATATGTAGGTTTTGAGACAACTTTTAAGGTGCTCTTTTAGGGTATTTACAGATTCACAGGTGGGTATCTCAAATTCCGAGGTAAACTTACTATAATGACTGAACTATGTATACTTTTGCCAATTAGCTTTTAGAAATTTGTAAATTTGATCACTTGAATGAATTAGTTACATCTTTGCTCAATGTATCCCCAATGAGAAGACTAACAAAAATGGCCAGCACTCATTTGTAAATCTCGCATTGAAAGGATTCGAATATTACAAAACTATATCACAAAATTTTTCATGTTTGTATATTTGTTTGCGTTTGTCATATATACAAACGCAAACAAATATACAAATCAAGGATATGGGTATGTAATTATATGCAATGCATGTTTATTTGTATAGTTTTGCCGCATAGCTTTTAAAAATTTGTAATTTTGATAGCTGTTCATAAATATATTAAAAAAATCTACTATAACTTAATAGATAAGCAGTTCTAATCTCTATTTATACAAAAAGCATCACAAAACTTGTAGAAGTTATGTTGAATATTTCAAGATAAAAAATCAACAACTACTTTTAATTCGACTTACTGATTCTGCATGCTGCATAGTTCTAATACAAATTCCAGTATGGGCCTGCCATAATTTAATTGTGTGGTCGTAGCCTCCAGTAGCAAGAATAACCCCATCACTATAGTTTGTATTCTCTGTTGACATGTTTATTTACCAATACTAAATATATGATATATTAAAATTTCACTGCAGCCTATGACATTTCACAAGCTGCTGTTAAGTATATAAAATCATATTATGTTAATACTAATTATATTTATTTTTATAACTTAAATCCATAGTAAGTTTCATTTTAATGCGCAAAAATTTTGGCTTTCTTGTTGTAACCAAATGTAACCTAATTCTGTGACAGTTTAAGCACATGTCAAATAACAAAGTATTTATATATTTGTCCAAGGTGGCCAACATAAGAAGTTGAAAGTTCAACTTCAAACTTGTGTTTAAAATTACTTTGTTAAAATAAAAGTTTTTAACTGAATTTTTTTGAATGAACTACTTATTTATGCTTATTTATCTATGGACTAGTGGTGCATGGCATCGTGCCTTAAGGCGAATTGCTGGAACTTCCCGTAGTGTAATTAAAAATCTTGGTACAGAACCGAAAAAAAATTTACACAAAATGTGGATACATTATTAAAATTTCTATAAAATATCTGATAATTTGATGTACATATGTTCAATAAACATTTTTGACCGCCAAATGACGTTTTTTTAAATTATTTTTATTGAGAGTCCATAACCGCTAGACCCGCCTTCCCAAAAATATAATCAGTTCTTCATCTTGTCAATACAAGTAAAATGTTTTTTGAATTATTAAAATCGGACGCTCCATTCTCTTAAAAACAGAGTTACCGTTTTTGGCACTTTTTGCTGCGTATCTTCGGAACGGTTAGACCCGCCTTCGCCAAAAACTAATCAGCACGTCTCTTTATCAATACGAATCGAATGTTTTTTGAATTATTCAAATCGGTTGATCGGTGTTCCCGAAATTGTTGACAAAATTTTGTATCCGCACTCACACACACACACACACACACACACACACACCTTCACAACCATACCATAAATCCATTTTTTCTAAGGCATGCCAAAATATTCAGAAACCTTTGAAACGTAAAGATATATAAAAATTTTCATTTTCGATTTTTTTGCGATTACTATAACTTACCCTACGGGAAATTAATTATTAAAAAAAATCGAAATTTTTGAAGTAGATTTTTGAGAATTTTGAATTTGTTTTTTAAAATTGTTTTTTTTTTTTAATGTGAATTATTTTTTTATATTTTAAAATCTTTTGAAAAATTGAACTTTTTTTCAAAGCAATCGCTGCGCTAGCTGGGTAGAGATGAAATATCGAAGCGCATAAGCGCCGCGTCGTAGTAAAACGGATAAACATTAAAAACCATACACAAATTCTAATTAATTTTAACCGAACATTTCAAGTTCTAATTCAAGACACTATTTACTTTTTTAAATACTTATTCATTTAATTCGTTTTACAATACCTTGTTTTAATTTTACTAATTTTCCTTACTTCTAATACTTATTACGTCATCTTCCAATTCTGTCGAAATTTTTACTTGATATTGTTTTTTTGTCATACATCTTCAATATTTACAAACTTTTTTATATGTACTAATGTATTCAATTACAATTTTATATTATTATATACAAACTCCTTATTTCAATTCATAATTTTATAGAAAGTGCCAGGAATCGAACCAAAGATCTTCGGCATCTGAGTCCGACGTGCTACTTCTGAGCTGTTTATCTATGTACGTTTATATCTTCTAACTTGTTTATGTATGGCTGTGCCCTCCACGTTGGTGCGAAACCCATATAAACAAAAATTGTACTTATTATTAAAATCTCTATAAAGTATCTGATAATTTAATGTGTATATGACTAATTTTTATCTTTGTATATATTATGTGTATATTACTAATTTTAAATGGCATTTTTTGTTACTTTTTATATTGGGTCTCCAAAACCGCTAGACCTACCTTCCTAAAAATTTAATCTTGTATTTGTATATTGTATATATTGTATTTATAATTGTTATTGCGTTTTTTGAATCATTTCAATCGAAAGCTCCGTTATCTTAAAAACTGAATTACCGTTTCTGGCACATTTTGCCCCGTATCTTCGAAGTGACTGACCTGCCTTTACCAAAAACTAATATGCACGTCTTCCCGTATAAGGGTTAATACAGTTTGAATGCAATTATTCAAATCGGTCGTCAAAAATTATAAATATTGTATCCGCACATACACACACACACGCGCGCGCACACACACACGCATACATCAATTTTTTCTAAGGTGTGCCGAAATGTTAAGAATCCTCTGAAACGTAAAGATATATAAAAATTAACCCTTTCCACTCGTGAATTCAGAGATCAATATGAATTTTGCCGCCAGAGCGGCGGCATTCGAGTGGACAGGGTTAAGATTATAAAAAGTAAGATTATCAAGTCGAGACTTAAAATTCGAAATTCAACTTGTGATTTTTAACATTTTGACACGGTTTCTTATTCCAAATTTTGATGGATTTTTATAATTTAACTAATTTTCGAAAGTATAAATTATATTTTGAGACCATAAACCTCATCATATCAAGTTTTATCACAATTTCAAAAAAAATGTTAACAATTAATTGCTAAGAAATGACCCCCAATGATATCTTCAATTGATATCTTTAGAAGAATTTTCAATCCTCGAAACATTCTGCGATCTGCAAATTCTAGAAAATACGGCCGATCGTCTTGCAAAACTAAACAACGCGAGTAATTATCAAATTCCATCTTCCGTCCAATGGTAAGTAAATTTTTAAAATGTTGGTCGACTGTATTTTTTCCAATTTTGGTCTCAAATGGCTCAGAAAAACTTGAAACATCAAAAAAGTTAACAAATTGGGTTTTCTGTCGAAAAAAAACGAATATATTTAATAATCAACAATTAAGTATTTTATATGTAATATATTTTATATTTATACATTTATAAATTTTATATATAATCACAATTTTCATCTTACAGTGATAGATTTTTTTATTAGAAACAATTTTGAATATCTTCTATAGATATTCATATACAATATTTAATATTTGTTATATATAAATAGATTGAAATAATTGTAGATATAAATGTTTCAGGTAACGGACTACGATTTGTTCTTTATAAAAACATTTAAAATGTTTTTACAAGACAATCTTATTTATGCAAAACTTGTGTTTTAATTCTTGACTATTGTCTCGAATTGACTTTCATAATTTTATGTTAAAATCAAGTTTGCATAGAAAATGATAATATATTTCTTTTGTAACGAAGTGGCTTTGGCAAATATCATAGATATTTATGGAAAATATTGATATTATTTAATCGATTTGCAAAAACTTACAAATTGAACTACTATTGCCTTTCTAATTTATAATATCATTATCCATTATCAAATATCTATATTGATATTTTTTATGTAATCCACTTAGTTGTTACATAAATAATTTGTTTATAGGAAGATTTGCGATTGCACAATTACGTTTACCATGTAAATTTACATTTATAATGTATTATAGCCTTCGACAAAGATTTTGCCTTATTTTTGTCAGCAATAACGAAATAAAACCATTTTAAGACAAAATTTCTAACAAGCGCATCTGAATTGACAATTATGCAAATCCATACATAAAATAAAATTATTTCTTAATTATATATAATAAATACTATAGTAGAGACCTCTCATAATGGTTAAATATTTCACATTTTTAACATCTTAATAAAATATTTTAAAATTTGTAATTAAAATAACTCAATAAATATATTAAATTTATATTTTTTGGTTCAATGTTTATGCAGACTGTATTTGTACAAAATTTTTGCTCTTAAGCAAAAGTGTGTTCATATAATTTGATCAAATTATCATATTTTGTTACAAAAACTGTCTGCAAACTTTAGGGAGACTTTTTGTCTTCATTAATTATATTAATAAAAACTTTATTTTTTGGCAGACATCATTAGGTATTTGGATAAACATATTTAAATATAGTCTATATAACACAGTACACCATTTAAGTGTTTTTGTTCACACATTTTATACCACAATTTTACATATCTACAATATGTTTATGTATTATCTATTGACAACATTTTACAAGTACTTTTGCAATTGTTTGATACATATGAATATACAGTTAACTTTTTATTATTTTTAACTACGGTGATCCAGAAATACATGATTTTTTTAAATATCGGATTCCTGAAGATTCATCAATTATCACAGATTTTAAAACTTGGAAATACAGTGATGATAACAAAATACACAAACCGGCAATTTAAATAACAATATATAAATAATAGTCCAATTCTATATTTTCCCATTTACTAGCAAGATTTACTCAAAAAATTCCACCTTGTTTAATTAGTATAAAAAGATGCAATTTTGTGTGCGATACATACAAGCCAAATTTGAACTGTTAATAATAATATTTAAAGTAGAACAAAAACTCTTTCTCAACAATTTCTCTTCACAAATCTTCACTCAAAAATGATTGGTAAAGTAACGAAAAAATAGCTAAACAAAAACTCGTTTTTTTAAATTAATTATCTAATGCCGTGGTTTCCAACATGTGGGGCATAACCCCTCAAGGGGTCGCGAGGTTGTTGAAAAAGAGGCGTACAGCTGCTTTAAGGGGGTATTCTAGTGTAGAAATTCAAAAAAATCGATTTGTTTTATCTCATATTTTCATTGTTTAACTATCTAAGAATATGGGTACGAGAAAGTTTTGGAAAATTTAAATTATTTTGGGAGATATAGGCATTTTACTGACTCGGTCTCCATACTGGTTTGGCTTCACGCAAAACTTTAAATGCGTTTTTCTCAGAACAGACTTTTTTAGTACTGTTGACACGATTTCTCGAGTTTTAATCGACCGATTCACTTGAAATGTTCAGAGAGTCTTGTTTATAGACTTATCTATAGCCCGAACTGGGATTATCACCAAATTCCAATTTTTTACTATTTTTTCTCGAATTTTTTAATTCGAGAAACTCAAAAAACAACAGTAAAAAAACACTTTTTTTCAAACAGACGCCAATTTGTAAAAAAATTTTTTTTTACTCATCACTAGTTCGGTCGATTGCGACATCATTGTAGCTTAATAATCTTTTTATTTTTTGCATTTCCGATGGCTAGGAGGGCTGAAATCATGTCAAGACTGAGGTTTTTTTGAGACCACCCACTTTATCAGCTGCCAGTTTTTACAATTTTCAACTTTTTTATTTTTGTCTTGTATTTTAATAATATTAATAAACAAGTGGTAAAAAAATGGATAGTAAAAACATTCATTGCTTTCTTTTACGACACTTTAAAAATGACCTAAAATTCATCGCTCTACACTAGAATACCCCCTTAAAAATACCATTTCCAAAAAAATAAACCAGAAACGTTGAAATGATATAGAAAACTGAACTATTAAACAATTATTTTTATGTATATTTTTATATAATACTTTATATTAATTATGTAGCCTGATAAATAAAACATAATATCAGTTGGGTATTTATAAAATTAAATTATTAGAAAAATTAAGAGGCACGCAGCATTATTTTTTCTAAAAATAGGGGGGCGCTGTACGAAAAGGTTGGGAACCACCGATTTAATGTTTAGTTATAACATAGAGAAAATAGATCATTTTGTGATCATAGCTGTGATAATTCATAAACTTAATTTTATGATTTACTGAACGATAAAAATCAGTTTCAAAAACGGGATTATAACGTTGGTCAGATTTTTGGATTAGCACATTAATCATGCTTTTGCCATTTTTTGCAACACCCACATAAATTTTAATTAGGTACGTTACGTAGGTATGTATATTTCAAAATACAACGTTGTAGCAACATTTCTATTTAGCAAAATATTAAAAACAATATACAGTAAACAATCAAAATAACACGTTAAATACATTAATAAGATCCACAAAAGTTTATCAATACAGTAGTCTCATTCAATGCAATAATATTCTTTCATCTTTTATTTTCTTCCTAAAATACGATATTTGATGTAGTATAATTACAAGTAATTCTTTACTTTAATTCATTTGTAAATTTGTATATTTTCAACAATTTCAGGTTGTGGACGATTTTATATTAAAAATAATGTATATTCATCAGTAAACGCTGCTGGTACGACTTTTCATTACTTATTTATTACAGTACAATTCATATTTTCAAATAGATTTCGTTATAACCTATTTACTGGCTCCTTAATATTTATTCAGCCAAATTGGCATATTTTTAGAACTTTTAATATTAACAGGAAGATATGTAATTTAACATTTAGAAAGTTTCGCTCAAACTCAGTTCGAACGCAGATAATACAGCGAGTTAGCAAAATATTATTTAATAAAATATATAGAGAGAGCAAATCATCTTATATTATACAATTTTTAAAAATAGATATTTTTTATTAAATCAAAATTATTTTCAACTTTCAGTTAAAATATTTGACAAACATTCGTAAAATATCATATTTGATAATAGCTAAATATATAGATATTTTTTTCTAGACACAAAATATATATCTATTCACATTTAATGCTAAATTTGCCTAAAAACATTCAAGTTATTGAAAAATTTCACGGAGCACTGATTTAAATCTTAGCGACCTGCGCAATTTCCCATTTTTCAATAATTCGATGTAAATAATATTCAAATAAAGGTTTAATTTAAAAATATTTGTATACGTTATTTTTTTAGTTCTCGTTTACGAAGGTAAAAAGATAAAAAATCAAATTGGGTCATTAACTGGCTATTAAAGCGCGAGTATTTATATTAAATAAAATTCAAAACGTTTTCAACATAATTAGAGTCCAGCTCTTTAATAAATGATAATATTTATTTATGTTATAAAAATATTAGATTATCTAAAAAATATTTACTTGTTTTCCATCAAAGTTTGCAGCTGCAGCACCAAATCTCTTGCAAGATCCAAAACTGCCTTTGCGTTATGTCTCTCAGCCATTTCTAAATATAAAACATAACAATTATCAATAATATAGTATCAAATTAGGTGTTCATTTCATTATATATTTATAATTGAACCACTCGCCATATTCCATTAATATTTTAGTAAGCTTATTAAGACCAGAAACTTTATCGTCATACAAAGTTTCATTAAAATCGCCAAAAAAGTTTTTCTTTACAGTAAAGGAATGACCTGACCGATCTTTATTTGTATAATTCGAATAGTTTTTGAATTTCCAAGGTTAAGAATTTTCAAAGAAAACATGGACAAAAATAAAACCTAACTCTGCAGAGATTTTAAAAGATTCTAAAATTCAAAAGTTTTTCGAAGAAACTCGATAAGTATTCGTGTTGGTTAGTTTCTTGAGACGATGGCAGATCCATTTCATCATGATGAAAACTTTTAAAGTTTAGAAATCGGTTCAGCTGCTTTTTGACAAAATTTAGAGAAAAAAGAAAAGTAAAATATCGCCTCACACACATACTTTTTCCAAATATGGTCTCAAATGATTAAGAAAAACTCAAAACATCAAGAAAACATAGAATTGGCGTCATATTTTTCTTGTGAGAACAAAGTTCTTCTTCAGAAAGTAAAAATTGATATGAATATATCAAATAACATTCAACAAATATTACATACCATTGAAAAATTTAATGATATCTGTGAAATCCATACTATTCGACAAAATGATATCTCTATAAGTCTCAAGAAATGCGAGAGCCAAGAATAACACAAGATGAGAAGAAGCGACGTGTCTGGAAATGAAAGAACAAATTAATGTTTATTAAAAATGTTAGTTCAACAATTTTTTTTTAATTTCTCTTTAATTAGCTATTTCTCACCTGGCAGCCCAAATGACTTCCCAAGTATAGAATACGTCTCTATATAAAAGTTCGCGTTTGAAATCTAACAAAAACCAACGATAACAGAAATAAAAATGCGTGTAGTCGCCGTGAGCATGCATCAGTTCGAACATTTCAGCATCGAGAATTTGAATCAACGATCTGGAAAAGAAAATAATTTATAAGTTATTAGAATTTTTATATTTCGTACCAGATATAATATTTGTAATTTATTTATATTATTTTACCTCATATTAGCAAAATGAGCATCCATAGCACCACCATTCGGAAAATTGTCGATCATGCGTTCCATCAGTAAACGGAAGCATGCATGCGTCTTAGATTCATCGTCCAAAATAACCAGCAAAGGTGCTGCCAAATCGCACATACCTTGCATATATCCTATATCCAGATTAGCCCACACGTATCTGCAAAATTACCATAACAAAATCAGAAAAACATAAGTTTTAGCTTTTTAAGATGTATGACAAAACCGTTGCACATATCTACAATAAATTTCTTCAAATGGCTTTTAAATTTTTTTAAATCGGTGCAGGCAGTTTTGAGAAAACGTCAACGAAAACCAAATTTTGGCTCACATACACACAAATATCTTTTCTAATTTCAGTGTCAAACGATTCAGAATGTCTCAAACGTTATTTTCTGGCAAAAGCATAAACTTCTTATTTGCTTAAAATACTTATAAATAATCGTGAAAATAATACTAACGTGCACATCACATTACGAAGTTTGTCCAAATTTGGCTCGCTGAAGTACCAGTAATTTCTATCACAGCGCTGGACATCTTTGTCGATACGGTGTAGATTTAATCCAAAAGTATCTAAAAGCTCCATCTGATAATAAAAATAGTTTATTATTATCAGTTTAAAAAATGTAATTCATTGAATGAGATATGGAACAATTATATTACACTATAGACGCCACCATTTGAACTAACTGGTGAAGCACAATTAGACCTGGATGCGTCATTTGGTTCCAAATTTGTTTGCTCTTCGCTGAGAGGATCTAAATTAGTTCCATTTGAATTTTTTCTGTCACAAATTGGTGATAAACCCGATACGTCCACGGAAGGATTTGTTACTATCACGCTGAAATAAGTCAATATATTGTCAATAAGATCAATTATATAATAACCAAAATATTTTTACCTATGAATTTTTTCAGAAGCACGTCTGATTACTGATTCAGTATTTTCGGCACTACGTTTTCTTTCCAAGTAGTCAAAGTCTTCCAACTTTTCAAAAGCGGCTTCTTCTTCTGGGGTCATGAACTGATCAGCTCTGCTTCCTGCTGATTCTGTTTCAATTGCATCGGTTTCTATAATTATACAAAATATATTATTGCCGATAAAATAATTGAAGAAAATAAATAAATTTATATTATTTACCTTCAGTAGCATCTATGTGGCCGTTTTCGTCATTTTCCGGCTTTTCATCATTTTCTGAATGGTGCAAATCCAATGATTGATGAGCTGGCGTATCAGGTACTGAAATAGTATCCTGATAATTGAGTCGGCCTGCGTCATCATGATGATTTGCGTCAAGACATGTGGCTTCTTCGTCAGATAGACTGCAACAATCTTCAAAGACCTGTAAATAGATACACTGTATATGTCAGTTTGAAATATCTATATTAATAATAAATTAATAAGTCCCGGTACTTACATCATTACTGCCATCTCTTAAGTTGGGATTAACATCTCCACTTTCTTTTCCTCTGCCGTCTTTATCACTGGTGCTCTCAGAGCCTAATCTTGCGATAGATGCAGCAGTTTGTTCCTTATCTCGTTGTCTAACTATGGCTTCTACCGCCAGCCATTCGGACATAGAAGTTTCATAAGTTTGCCTGGTGGCAGCATCCAATGCAGATCGTTCTTCAGGTGTAGAACCAAATCTGGAAAAATTAAAAAAAAGTATTTTCAATGACATCAGAAAAGTATGATTATTGAACCATTTGTAATGTATGTATTATATTTTTCTCACTTATAATGTCCAAGCAAGTAAGGCCATACTTCTTTCCTTATCTCATGCTCTACTCCACCCCAATACACCAATCTGTATACTTCTTCAAAATCTACTATCACACCGTCTTCATGTAATTCTTCCCATTTCTTAGCAGTCAATCCTTCTTCGGCGCCATCTGGATATTTCATGTAATAAAAAATTACAATAAGTTAGCGCCGCTTAAAAATCTAACTTCAAAAACCATATTTCCGACCTATACCAAAATCTTATTATAAAAATTCAATATTGCTTCTAGAACTGAGTCTCATACTTATTGCATGTTTAAGTAAGAAGAGCTTACCACTACTTGTAATGTTCAGTTGAACCAGCCCTGAAAGGTGGGTCCGAACTGTTGACAAATGTCTGCAATATGCCAGCCACCCGTAGAAAGCTCGAGATATTATTTGCCTTTTCATAGTTGAGCATACCAAAGCCAAGCTCGTAGTTTCTTGTTGTGCAACCTAAATTGAGTTGAAAATCATCGCATTAAAAATAAATAGTGCAATAAAATTTTTCTAGAATATCATATAAACAAGTACCATTGGACTTTCATTATTATCCAAAGATAAACTTTTGCTAGAACTTTCACTAGAAGCAGTAGAGCAACTACTCAAAGGTCCACGTTCTGTTCTGCTTGCCGGTCTTCCTATTATAGTTCTGTCCAATAACTCATGTCGACTCACTGTAATATTTTTTTAAAAATTCATTCACAAATATTTTTTTATTTGTATTATATAATATATTATAAAAAATATATTTACTAAAATCTTCATGATTAGTTTTACTGTATATCCTGAAGACGTAGTCTGATGGCTCATCATGTGATTCATTAACTGATGGTAGAGGTCTCCGCCGCAGTTTTGGAGGTCTTGGTAAAATCTTGTTACAAAATAATAAATGCATTAGACATTTTTGTTCGTATCAGTCTGAAGATAAATTCTCACCTTCCCAGAACCCCTGGCGCTCCACAATGGCGGATCCAATTGGCCATGAGGTAAAAGACCGGTCTCAAGACAACTCAAAAATGATGCCAAATGCCCTCCAGCAGGAAAGATTATCGGAGGTCTCTGCACACCGTCCTGACCAACTAATATAAGTGATGAATCATTTCCATCTGGTTTATCACCACCTTGATGACAATGCAGGTAAACGATATCATCCACATTTATATTCAATGCATAATCCCAGTAAGAACTTTAAAATAAAAGTCAATATTGATTAGTTTAACATAAGTCTCGTATATTCAATGTATGAAATTAAATCAAAAAACCTTTTGTCTTGGACATCGCTTTCGGAATAACCGTTCATGAGCTGATTTGGAGTCCATTTAATGGTAAGTGATTGCGCCGATTGATGCAAACTTAAATAACCAGGCATTGGTTGAATGACGTCTTTCTGTTTCATATAAAATTAAATTTAAATTATATTACAATTAGTTTTGTATTTATATAAATTATTTTAAACTTACTGGCAGGACTTTAACATTGTTTTTTCCATACAACAACGTTGCTCTGGAATTTTGGTGAAGTGATTCTACATAATCTTTTGCACAATGAATTTGAGGAGAAACTCTTGCATGGCCCGTGTGTCCTTCTTCAGAACTATGCGTATTCAAACTTCTTTTAAAATTCAACATTGGTCGTCTGCATGGTGGAGGTGTAGGATGTCCTGAACTTATACGATGCCTTTGCACCTGTAAAGACAATAAGCAAAAAGTTACCAAAAAATATGATTTGAAAAAAATAAAATTGTAAAAAATAAGTCAAATTACCAGTTCATCAGCTGGTGGATCCGTCCAAAAGTGATCAGGGGTTTTCGAATGAGAGTATTCTAGAGCACATGGTCCAACCAAAAGAGAACTAAGGATATATCCATAATCAGGGTCTGCAACTAATGCATCACGTTCATAATAACGTGAGGCATGGCGCGCAAGATGGTCTATTATGCGCGCTAATTGCTTTTCGTACAACGCCAGACGAATCCAGAGATATCTGAAAATAGTCAATAAATACATTTTTAAGGCACTTAAAGCACAGTAGTAACTTATATAATTCAGCATATCCACCTTCATTAAAGACATAACTTCAAAATAAAGTAACACTAATGGTATTATTTGACTCACTTGACTTGTCCACAATTATTTGAACCATTCATAGCTGCTAATATACTGCTCGCCGAATTTTTCTTGCTCAACGTTGGCGGTTGCGGAGATGGAATAGGCCCTTTATTTGTAGAATCGCCACTTGAAGACGATCGCTTGTTTGGATCCCCATTTTCGGCTTCCAGAACTCTCTGGCTTATCACGGCCGCTTCTTCGCAATGCTAAGAGATAAAAAAAAAGTTATATCACCTATATAATAATGATTTATGAGGCATTCTATAAGGAACATACTTTAGCAACTTTATGCAGAAGTGCTGTTGTGCTTGATGTCTTAAACAAGCCCAAAGCTCTTCTTCTTAGACCTTGACCTAAGCATGCTTCAACGGCTGCACACAAGGATGTCACTGTGCCACTTTCCTCATGAACGAATTTCCTGGTGACTGCCTCTTCCATCAACTGTTTAACCTCTTTTTTGACTGCCGCCAAGAGACGCTTTTTGGTCTCCTCTGTATTAGTGTTGTCTAGTGTATAAATCAATCAATAAAGTGAACAATTAAAATAATATGGTAACAAAAACGAATTGAACAAAATAATCGAAATCGCCGAACAACAAATAATCTATGAATGTATGGAACATGAGACAAATATAAATCTATTGGTGTGGTGATAACAATGTATTTGATACAGTATGACTTTTATTAAAAAAAATACGACGGAGCTGATCATTATATTCAGAAGAGTTAAGAAACCAATGCTTCTGCATTGATTTTTTTATATAACGAGCTATGAACATAAACATTCATTAAACGAATAGTTTTATGTGTTTTGAACAATTTCATAGAATTTCATACTAACTAAAATAATTGAATACAAAATAATTCATTTTTTCCAATTATCTTTTTTCATCAAATCAGTTCATTAAATTTTCAATATCAAACATATATATGTTTTTAAAATATGCAAAATGGATTACATACAAAATAAAAAAGTACATAAAGATAAAAATCAAAATTTTAAATATTTTGACCAACGCACTATATGACATAAAAAATATTATGTTTTATATTGTTTTAAAAATGAAATTTATGAACTAAGCAAACTGTAAGTAATCTGCTAACTTCGTAAATTGTATTTTATGGACATATTTGAATTATTAACAAGCATCTACAACATGCGCGCAGAATACGATCAATATATGTAAAAATATATATTTGATGTTAACGAAATGCTTGAATATATTTAAACATAAGTTACATATAATATATAAAATACATGCATCTAAATCCAATTGAATTTATGAACTAGGTCTAAGTGGCATTTTTGAGACCGGTTTAGCCTTTTTTGAGAATGCTTTGCGGAAGTTCAAGTTTTGGATCACTTGCATACCTATACATAGTTTTTTTTTGCAATTTTAGTCTCTAAAAATTCAGAATAAATTGAAACGTCGATAAAGAAAAGCTTTAGTTGATGCAAACCGGCGAAAAACAATACGTGAGATTCCATTGAATTTAAATTTATCAAATTTAACAGTTCATGACCACTCAAAAGGTCTGGGATTTTGAAGAAACCTATGTCGTCGCACTGGCATCCGCGATTCGTGTTCCTGAAAATTATCAGGTTTTGAAGCTAATTGTCACTAGGAATGTTAAATCGGATGTAATGAATACAATACATGAAATTGCCAATAAAACAAATAAAAAGAACCCGCTCAAAATAATTGTAAAGCTAAAATTCGCCAAGAAAAGATGATGCCGTATGTAAAACCTGTACCTCCAATGAGGAGGACAAAAAGCACTTTGATCAGCTTTTTGCCAATAACCACCAAACAATTCATGATCTTGAAATCTTGCTAATACCAGAAATATGGCAAAAGATGTTCGATCAAAACAGCCAAGACATACTTTATTAAAGTATTTGTTTATTGTTCGAAAATTACATTTCAAAATGTCTATTAAAAACGAAGTTACTTTCCGAACAATCCAATAGTTAATTGTGATTGTACTGACTGTCTAATTTCTGTGTTTGTTAAAATCAGTTATTATTATCCTTGTGCATTAAATTGCAATCACTTTAACCCATCAGAAATAGACTTTGTCAATAATTCAGTAAATACAACCAATAGGTGTATGTGGCATTTAGAAAATATAAAAGTGTGGTAATATTGTTTTATTGTATTATTGTTTACGACATGATGCTGAATAAAATTTAATGAAAAAAAAAACAGGACAAAGCATGATAATATCATCTACCAGAGTGAGAAAACATTAAATAATTCAAGTTCCAGAATATGTAGCTTTCCCATTCAGAATCAATATATCATTATAGCATTTCTCTCCATAATCTCTCAAACAATAGCAATTAAGCTAATTGGTAGATTAGTTTCTGATTTGCTAACCAATCTATAATAACTTACGTAACTGTAAAAAGTCCAATTAGTAAATTCGATCAAGACCAATCAACTTTTGATTTGTGCAAAACAAAATTTCTGTATCAGGTATAAAATTAATATTAGTTGTTTTTTTTTCTATTATACAGGCAACATTGTGAGATAATTAGCTAAAATTAGTTGATATAAATGCAACTTGTTATAAAAGCCTATAAAAATAAACTTGCTGTGAAAAATGAGGATAAAATCACAGAAATAATCGAAGATTCATTATCATCAAAAAATAAATTTTAAGGTCGCTGAATGAATCTTGAAACTGACCTTAAGGCCGTCCGGATGAACAAAATTTACTTCAGGCCAGCCACTGGGGCAATTTATTGCCAAAGCGATCAAAAATGAGTAAAAACCGTATACAAAAAAAAGTAAATTGATATCCTGAGCATTTTCTTGATGTTGCAAGACATTGTCAATTATAAGTTTCAACAATCATTATGAAAAGTAAAAATGAGACAAGCTACGTTCGCACCAGGGTCGTTCGTTTTTATCCTAGATCATTGTTTTTTGCACAGATTCTATAAGCTATCGTACACCTAGTATTTTTTCCCAAGGAGCAACCCAACGGTCAACCACTCTTATTGTTTATGTGTATAGACTGTATATATTAAATATGCATGTATTGGCGTGTATGTGTTGCAGCAATGCCCACAAAATGTGACATTCATTCAAGATTATATTTGAGATCTATAGCCTCAAGTGGAAATTTGATATTATACTGCTTGATATCAAGCTATCCACAACGGAAATAAAACATGGAACCTGTGATTATAATATCAAATTGCCACGGGCAAGCTCAGAACTTACTTAAAAATATTATATTACAATTTATGATATTATAAATATTATAATAACAAAAAAGCGTGCATGCCACCATGAAGCATAAATATCAACTATTAACGATAAATTTCAGTGCTCGAATGGAATTTCACTTGAAGCGAATCTATACAAATAAGCCGGTGCCAGCATAAACATGATAGTAATTAACAGATTGTCGAAATAAATCAATATAAATACAGGACATATGTAAAGCATGGTCTTTATCAGTTAAATGAGACGACAAACAAATTGACAAAATTTCAGCAATGAATAGACAAGGACAGAACAAATTGATAAAAATGGGCAAAATTATAATCCAACACACGAAAAACATATAATTTTGTATATAACATTTAATTAGATTCTTGCATGGTAATAGACATTTTTTTTTATTGTTTCTACAGCAATCAGAACTCTTACTTCAGTGTTCTATAATCGGTTCATCATTCTTCTATGTGTGGGGTTTATATATTAGCTCTTACGTCTAATAGTTTACATATGATTGAATGATGCAACTATGTCCACGAAGGACGATTTCCATTTAAAATTATATTGTAATCTATAACCCCAAGTGAAAATTTGACATCAAAGTTGCCTGATGTCAGGCTTGGCGGTAGCGGGAATCGAACCAGCGAACCTGGGACTAGTTGGTGCTAACCCACGCTCTAACCGATATCGCCACTGCTGGCCCATAGACAATTTTTATGTTTATTTTGCAAATACAGTCAAATAAGTTATGTGGTAAATTAAGGTGACCATAGGTCCCGGTTTGGCCGGGATAGTCCCGGATTTATAATAAAATTACAACTACTCAACAAATATCTGAAAATGAACACAAAATTCCATCCGTTTAAAACAGCAACTAAAGAAAAATGTTTTTTATTATACTCTTAAATAGCATTTGAAATAGCATAAATAAAAATTGCCGTCCCAGTTTTGAGTTAAAGAAATATGGTCACTTTAGGTAAATAGATAGTCACGTACAAAGATGTTTTAAGTTTGCTAATATTCGGCATTTGAATTTAAAAAGCAATATTATTTAATTTTCAGCTATATTTTTTAATGTAAAAAAAATTGTATAAGATTAAACCAATTTATGGTGAACTTGTTGATTAAAACGCCAATAATCCCAACTATAACTCATGCTCACTATTGGTATTAATTTATTTATTTTATACAACTATATATGAAATTTAAATTGCAATATTATTTTCAAGTGACTAATACCAATTAAAATATTGGAAATTCTTCATCTTTCGGTTATTGGAAACATACCATGCAAGAACCTAATTTAGCAAAATTATATTAACAAATTTTATGGACAGGTATTTTACCATTATTAAAAAATAAGCTGCCCCTTCTCATCGTTTGAAACTAGAGTTTATATTATATTTCAATAAATATATGTTTCATTGCATGCACCTCTATTTTCACACAGCTTCTTAGTAAAATATCATGGGAAAGGCTTTAGAAGAAACGAGTTCGTATGCATATTGTTATGAAAATATTGCGTATAATTAAATATTTATAAAAAGCTATTTAAAATTCGCACTAACTCAAATACACCGAAATACCATCAAATCACTTAGTTTGAAGGTGTGTGCGTGCCCATGAAAATTCACCTGTTAGAGTAGTCATATTTTTCACTGATTTTGAACAATACTTCACTAGTTACTAAGCACAATGGATAATTTATAGTTATGTATTGTTTTTATTAATTCACGCCATTTTACAATCCTATCTACTGTTTGTACGTGATTCTTTTATTTATATTTTTGTGTAATGTTATGCTTTGATGCGTAAATCGGTGCACCGTCGGCAGTTTGAGCTCTAAAGGACATTGCGTAAGAGACGCCCCGTGAAAATCGATTCTTGGCGCACTACTATAGGTACATCTATAGCAGAACACCGATGTTATATCACGTCATAATATATGTTATAGTAAGGGTAAGATTATATGGACATAGACATATATGTTAACAAAACTACATTGTCACTAAGTTGAACATATCCAAGGATTCTGTCGAGAAATGATTTATTTCGAATTCATTAATCATTTTCTATATAGAAAGCAGTATTATTATTGCCATAGTCAATGCTAGTAGTAACTAGTGGTGCATAGCATCGTGCCTTAAAGTAATCTTATCTTATTAATAATCTATTTGAAATTATTCAAAACAATTATTGATTATTTTCATTTCTCAAATTTTTGATTACGGTACGGAAAGTTCCAGCAATTTACTTTAAGGCACGATGCTATGCACCACTAGTTACTACTAGATATAAATTTATATCTTGTAAACTTACAAGTGCTTTTCAAATTGGGCAACGACCGTATTTTATGAGCAACTTATGTGTACGTTTACAAGAGTCAATTTTTTTGATAATTTAAAAAAAAAATCAAAATTTTGGAAATTTTTTAGAAGTTTGGAATTTAGAAAAAAAACGTTTTTTCTAAATATTTTGAGAATTTGGAAATTTTGTAAAATATTAGATTTTTCTTGAAATTATCAAAATATTCTCAAATTTTTGTAAGAAATCATTTTTTTTTTAAATTTTCAAAATTTAGATTTTTTTTGAGAATGGTGAAAAATTTCGAAAATTTGAATTTTTTGAAACTTTAAATTTTTTTGAAAATTTTTATTTTTTCTTTTGAAAATTTTCAAAATTACTAAATTTTTAGTAAATGCATCTTTTGCACCACACCGTCTACTCAAGCAAAATGTTTTCTGAATTAATCTAATCGGATGATCCGTTCTCTCAAAAACTGCATAACCGTTTTTACACCCTTTGCGCTCCATAACTCCGAAACGGCAAAATTGCCTTTTGCAAGATCGAGTACCGAAAGATTTTTCAATTTTATAAATCGATTATTCCATACTGTCGAAAATGTCGAGGGCATTTGTTTGAACCATATGAATAAACTTCAAAATTAAAAATCTTGGTACAGAACCCAAAAAAAATTACACAAAAAGTGTACACAATTATAAAATCTCTATAAAATAACTAATAATTTGATGTACATATGTCCAATAAACATTTTTGACCGCCAAACGAGACTTTTTTAACTTATTTTTATTGAGTCCATAACCGCTGAACCTGCCTTCCCAAAAATTTGATCAGTTATTCATCTTGTCAATACAAGTAAAATGTGTTTTGAATTATTAAAATCGGACGCTCCGATCTCTTAAAAACTGAGTTACCGCTTTTGGCACTTTTTGTCCCGTGTCTTCGAAACAACTAGATCTGGCTTTGCGAAAAACTAATCAGCACGTCTCCTTATCAATACGAATCGAATGGGTTTTAAATTATTCAAATCGGTTGATCGGTGTTCCCCAAATCTGGGACGAAAATTTGTATCCGCACATACACACATACATACATCCATTTTTTCTAAGGTATACCTAAATGTTCAAAAACGATCGATCGATCGATTCTTGGCGCACTACTATAGGTACATCTATAGCAGAACACCGATGTTATATCACGTCATAATATATGTTATAGTAAGGGTAAGATTATATGGACATAGACATATATGTTAACAAAACTACATTGTCATTAAATTGAACAAATCCAAGGATTCTGTCGAGAAATGATTTATTTCGGATTCATTAATCATGTTCTGTATATAAAGCAGTATTATTATTGCCATAGTCAATATATTATTCCATAGTCAATGCTAGTAGTAACTAGTGGTGCATAGCGTCGTGCCTTAAAGCAAATTGCTGGAACTTCCCGTACCGTAATCAAAAATTCGAGAAATGAAAATAATCAATAATTGTTTTGAATAATTTCAAATAGATTATTTATTACATACTGTAAACTTACAAGTGCTTTTCAAATTGGGCGACGAGCGTATTTTATGAACAACTTATGTGTACGTTTACAAGAGTCCATTTTTTTTTGATAATTTTAAAAAAAATTCAAAATTTTGAAAAATTTTTAGAAGTTTGGAATTTAGAAAAAAAAACGTTTTTTCTAAATATTTTGAGAATTTGGAAATTTTGTAAAATATTAGATTTTTCTTGAAATTATCAAAATATTCTCAAATTTTTGTAAGAAATCATTTTTTTAAATTTTTCAAAATTTAGTTTTTTTTGAGAATGATGAAAAATTTCGAAAATTTGAATTTTTTGAAACTTTAAATTTTTTTGAAAATTTTGATTTTTTCTTTTGAAAATTTTCAAAATTAATAAATTTTCTCTAAATGCATATTTTGCACCATACCGTCTACTCAAGCAAAATGTTTTCTGAATTAATCTAATTGGATGATCCGTTCTCTCAAAAACTGCATAACCGTTTTTACACCCTTTGCGCTCCATACCTCCGAAACGGCAAAATTGCCTTTTGCAAGATCGAGTACCGAAAGATTTTTCAATTTTATAAATCGATTATTCCATACTGTCGAAAATGTCGAGGACAATTGTTTGAACCATATAAATAAACTTCAAAATTAAAAATCTTGGTACAGAACCCAAAAAAATTTACACAAAATGTGTACACAATATTAAAATCTCTATAAAATAACTGATAATTTGATGTACATATGTCCAATAAACATTTTTGACCGCCAAATGACACTTTTTTAACTTATTTTTATTGAGAGTCCATAACCACTGGACCTGCCTTCCAAAAATTTAATCAGTTATTCATCTTGTCAATACAAGTAAAATGTGTTTTGAATTATTAAAATCGGACGCTCCGATCTCTTAAAAACTGAGTTACCGTTGTTGGCACTTTTTGTCCCGTATCTTCGAAACAACTAGATCTGGCTTTGCGAAAAACTAATCAGCACGTCTCCTTATCAATACGAATCGAATGGGTTTTAAATTATTTAAATCCGTTGACCGGTGTTCCCCAAATCTTGGACGAAAATTTGTATCCGCACATACACACTTACATACATCCATTTTTTCTAAGGTATACCTAAATGTTCAAAAACATTTAAAACGTAAAGATAAATAAAAATGTTCATTTTCGATTTTATTGCGATTACTATAACCGGAAGTTAAAAATAGGGTAGACTAGGTACGATTATGCCAGGGTTTTACTGATTATGAGATAAAGTCCAAAAGGAGAAAGATGCTGTATGTTTGTTCAAACAAATTTCCATTGGGTCTCCATATCAAACAAAAGAGCAAACAAACAATGAAAAAATTTAAACAATTGTACTGGCTTATTGGTAGAAAATGGAAAATGTCATATACAAAACCGTACTAGTATCAATATGGGGCTACGGAATAGAATTATGGGGATGTGCAAGTACATCAACCATAAAAATTACACAGCATACCTAGAACAAAATATTAAGGGCAATGGTATATGGTATATGGTATAGAAAATTAACAAAATTATTCCTGATAAAAAGTATCTCAACCGTACCGTCTCCGCTACTTCATGATGTGTTCATTATTTTCAGAATGTTTTTATTTGTAGTACAAACGTGCAAAATGGCTACTATTCATAAATATATCTCGACTTTATTTTTAAGTTTATCCCATTCGCTACTATATTAGCCGGTGAGCCGTCCAGTAGCGTCCGGACAGCGATTCGCCTACTGGACGGACCAGACACAACACATATTTTGAAATTTTCCAATCATTATTAATAAAAATATATTTACACTAGTTGTAAGTGGCATTTTGCTTTGAGGCAAGTTGAATAATGTTCCCGATACTTATACGCACAGTCAACAAGAATTGAATTTCAGCTATTAAGGTAAATCGCGGTTCAGGCGTTTTTTTGAGAAAATATCGACGAAGGCCTCAAACAATTCGAAATGAGTTGCTTGAAACCCAAAACTAGCAAGTCGAATTTTCTGGAGAAATGTAAACTTTTCTTCCTTCAGGAAATTAACAGATAACGTGGATACACTAATACCAAAAGTGTTTATATATCTTTCAGGGTGTCCCAAAAGTAATGACACAGTTGCCCTAAGTTTTCTGAAATCAAATTATTTGTTGAACTGAGATTTTTTTTTAATTTGAAGACTTTGAAAGGCCATTATTTTAAAATAAATGCACTATAGTGCTTTGGCAAGTAGCATTATAAGTTCGCGCACTTTACGAGTAAAACAAATAAAAACTTTAAATTTGCTGAGTTTACTCATGGTGACTATATACATTTCCTTTGTTTTTAGGCAATACGCTGCGTAATACAAAGTTTTCATTGATAAAGGCGTCATTGCCAAATAGTTGCCTAAAATTTCATGAAATTTTCATTGATTATATTTTGATGCAGATATAAGCAATAAACCTCATAAGGAAATTAACGCCCATTTGTGCACTTATTCAGTTGTTAATTTAAATCTAATATAATCAAGAAAAATAAAACCTCATGTAATCCAAGTCTCCTCAACTGTATCTGTTCTCTTTGAACCCCTTTCTGCCTCACTCGCAATCATTACAATTAATTCTATTCTCCTGTCTTGAACTGCGGATTTCCAGTTTCATTGAATCGCTTTTAAATTTTTGAAGAAAAAAGTCAAATTATGCATCACATACACTCACAAATACTTTTAATTTAGGTGTTAATTGATTTAGAATGACTTGGAGTGTCCGGAAATTAAAAATAACAAACCATACTTTCTGGCAAAAACATAAAGTTCTTTTTTGGGAAGTTATAAAACGTACAAAACTATTTAAATTATTAAAACATCTAATTAAATTTGTTTACTTGCCTTGCATTTAAGCTCACAAGTAGTAGAAATTTTCATATTAGTGGCTTGGGCCTAATTTACATTGTGTTACTATAGTAATGAACTAATTATAAATTAGGATTATGTACGGATAATGAATGATGGAATATGAGAAATCTGGGAATATAAGATGTTTAAAACTTCTCATTATAATGTAATGTTCCTTTTTATATATTTTATCTGAAAATGTTATATTAAAAAAATTATAACTAAATTCATTTTCACAATTATTGTCCTGGGCCAGAAAGTGACTTATCCATGAACTTCTTTTTACCAAAGCACAGCCACCACTTGCTTGGTTTACCGTCTTCTGTAGCAAACACCTACAAAAAAATAAAAAAGCATGTGTAAAATAAAAAAGCAAACAAATATTATTCTGTATAATTTGAATATGTACCTTCTCACAAATCCGAGCCCCAGTTTCTTGTCTAATTTGCTGTAAATATTGCTTCATGGAATCTGGAAAAAAGTATTTTTTTTATTTATAAGCATGCTTTAGTCAATAAATATTATTATAGGCTCTTGTCAAGTAGTAGTAGTTGTTTTTAAATTATTACAATATTTATTGTACATATACTAACAATAATAATGATAATAAAATATTATACCTGCTTCTGCTGCATTACTGGGTTTAGCATATACAGAATTTAAAGGAAAACCTGCATCTCCGGGTAAATCAAACCTTCCTATAGCTAAGCTATACATGTCTTGCTGTCCTTGTGCTTTATTTGCACATTTTTGCAATTTTTTCAAACACTCCGTTATGTACAAAGTAATGTAAATAAAGATTCTGTCTACGTCAGACTAGAACAGGAATCATATATAAGAACTATAGTTTGCTAATGTTAACAAATGTGCCCTTCGAGATTTTTTGTTACTCTTACCTTAATTTCGTAAGTCCTAAAAAAGACATTGGCTTTGAAATAATATATGGCATCATCTATAATGTCATGTTCAGCATTTGTAACTGGAGCAGGACCCCTGCACTGAGTCCGCAGAGGTAAAACTGCTATATTGCCATAAGATTGATTGAAGTCTTTAATCACAGTATGGTACGCCTGAAAAAACATTTTATAAATGTATGATTTTTAAAGATATGACGGCACGCCCAAATAATATTCAAGTTTAAGTGATAAAACACTAATACATACAGGCATTTTAAAAATAAATAAAATATTACGTAGGAATAAAACTAATACTTAAAACAATAATATGGATACAGATTTAATTCACACTTTCATCAATTCAAATATAATTAGTAACACTCATTAAAGATACAGTTGACTAATGTTGACAAGAAGGATTGTCAAAATGTGAATGAATGAATCAGTCCGCAGGTGCAACAATGGTATGTAGTAATATTCCGCGCGAGATTTAAATTATGATTTTCAGTTTATTTTAAAAATAGCTGAGACAATTATTAGCTATGATATTAAATATAGTATATTTATAATAAAGTCAATATAATTCATAAACTAGACTTTGAAATTATAAAGTAATTTAGAATGAGTATCTATATGCAAATATTTAATTCAAAATATTTTTAAAGTAATTAATTTATAATATTTTTAGGTAATAAACAGATAACATGGTATTTTTTGCATAAATATATTAACAAGTTTGATATATGTAATTGATTTTGCGTTTTGTTTGTTGGTTGAAAAATGTATCGTATATTTTTCGCACTCTTTACCTGTCTAGGTTATTTACAATAGTAAATTTTAAACAATAAACAATAAAATATCTTAAATAATAAATGATAAAATAGTTAATATTGTCTAGGAATTAATACTGTCTTGGTGGTACAATTTTTATCAAGTCTATTTCAATTTCAAGCAGGTGTGTTAACAGTACAAACAAAAATATTCAAAGTCAATTAACTTCATACATATTATCAAAACTTATGTCAAAGTGTTTGTCAATTTTGTATCTATGACTTTTTGCACTTTATACAAGAATAATAAATTTTTAATCAATACAGTTTGTAACAATAAATAACTAATTAAGTTAAAGTACTATTTTTCATAATATTATGTGCGAAACTCTATCAAAATAGTTTGCAAATTATTACTGTAATGCGCAAAACTGAAGGACATAAGGTGTGGGTGTGATTAATTAATTTCCCAAGCACGTAATGAATGTAATAACTTTTGGGTCATATGTTAAATTCTTAATGCAAATGATTAAATGAACTCGTTTCATTGTTTAAAGATGGGACTGCCATATAGATTTTCTTGAAAATAAATATTTACGTCTGTAACGCAATTTATGGAGAATTAAGAAAACTTCGTATCTAATAATGACCAGTCCTCGCGGAATTTCGAGTGATTCTGTATCAGTTAGTTCTTCTACTTCAGTTATTTCAAATGTCCCAGACAGACATGGATTTTTTGGAGGAGCCCAATATTGCCCACAACCGAAAGGACCATTGAGCCCCGCACAGGCTCTACGCAGGGAGAGAAAATGGTTACATATGATTGATAATTGGGAAATATTTATGAGTCAAAACTATAAAAAGGTTAGTTTACAGAAAGATCAGAAAATAATTCTTTTTCTATACAGTAATGTATATTTACTACACTCAGATTATGATTTATTATTGAATTTTGTGATATATTACATTGTTTATTTTTTATGAGTGCAATTGCAAATATTGCAAAATCAAATAATTATAAAATAATAATTAGGTGCGTGAACGATGCCGCAAAGGTATTCCCTATTCTGTAAGAGCAAAAGCATGGCTTTATTTATGTGGGGGCCATTTATTACTTAAGAAAAATCCTAATTTATATGGTGAACTTTGTAAAAGACCAGGAGACCCTAAGTGTGAGGAAGACATCCGTAAAGACTTACATCGTCAGTTTCCTTTACATGAAATGTTTATTCGAGAGGAAGGACCAGGGTAATAATAATAATGAGTAGGGTAATAATATTTATTATTAAGTACATAAAGTACCTTTTAATTTTCAGGCAACAAGAGCTGTTTTCTGTGCTAAAAGCATATTCACTCCTCAATTCTAAAATTGGATATTTTCAAGCTCAGGCTCCTGTTGCTGCATTTCTTCTAATGCAAATGCCTGCAGAGCAAGCTTTCTGGTGCTTAGTGAGTGTTTGTGACAAATATTTAGCTGGATATTACAGTCCTGGCCTCGAGGTAAAACAAATTAAATTATTATTTCAAATGTTATGAAAATATGATTCATGAAGCCCATTGTGCTTAACATATCTAACAATTATCTTAAGTTTTGCAACTGTAAAATAGGTTTTACAACGTGACGGAGCCATGTTACAAGCACTCTGCCGAAAGACCGCCCCATCAGTACATCGCCATTTATTAAAACATAAAGTGGAGCCTTTATTATATATGACAGAATGGTTTCTGTGTGCCATGACCAGAACTTTGCCTTGGGATTCTTTACTACGCGTTTGGGATTGCTTCCTGTGTGAAGGTGTTAAGGTATTTATCTTTTTAATTATCTTCAAATGTTTTGAAATTAATCCAATATTTTAGGATTATATCCAAATATTGATTATACAAAGATTTTTTTCATATAGTGCATGAGTTTGTATGCTACATAAAAGTGTTAAATCAATTCCTTTATTTTATGTGTAAACATTATTATAATCCTAATTGTTTTTTATTACAGGTTTTATTTAAAGTGGCCCTAGTCATCTTAGGTGCCAGTTTAGCTCCTGCAAAAGTCCGAAAACGTTGTGCAGGCCTTTGTGAAACCTTAGAAGTGCTTCGAACACCACCAAGTGAATTTTTAGAAGTGGAATTTCTTTTCCATCATATGTCTAGATTAGACATAACAGAAGAAGATTTTGAATATGAACACAAGAAGCAAACTACTCTACGCAAAAAGATTGCTATGGAAAAATGAGTTATTCCAGTCAAATAAATTTAATATATGCACAAAGATGTCCAGAGACACCAAACTTTAATCTAAGTTTGTACAAATGTATCAAATGGTATGTACTTGAAATTTTATGTGTAATTATATTTATTATGTTAGTAAACAAGTGAAACAACCTGTGAAGTGGTGGATCCTATAAAGCAGCGGTTTCCAACCTTTTTTGCATCGCGCCCCCCTGCAAATATAAAAAAAAATTGCTGCGGCCCCCCTTATTTTTTTTAACTGTTTAATTTTATAAATACTCAACTGATATTATCAGACTACAAATTAATATGCAATATTATGTAAAAATATTCATAAAAACTAAATATTTTTTGTTTATTTTTTAATAACGTTCTATAAATGTTGGGGTATTTTCGATAATAGTAATCTGGAAACAGTTGTTCGCGCCCCCCTTAGGACAGCCTGGCGCCCCACTGAGGGGGCGCGCCCCACAGGTTGGAAACCGCTGCTATAAAGTATTGTTTAATCTGAATGTTTATATATATTGTATTTTCAAGATTATCGGCACTATGGTATTTCTTACAACATTCATACTATACAATTATAAAAATATATGCATTTTTTGTTTGTTTACATATTGTAGGATAACCCACAAATAATATGAAATGTAAAAAAAAATGTAAACCGGTGACACAAAATACTGGAGACAATTATTATAACATGTAATATTCAATTTTTAAATTTTCATCAATAGTTTTTTATGATCTCGTCTTTTGAAGTATTCATTCATTTATTCAATCCAATGCCAAATCATAAATTTATTGGTATTTAGGTGCACTACTATATTGAATTAATAAGATAAACAACTTAGTTATGAAATATTTCAATTAAATCCATGTATGGTTTGTAATGTGCATATATATATAGTCACCGTACTAGATTTTTATTAGTTTAAGAAAATTTAATATAAATAACTATGTAAGAAATATTTCAAAAAATTTAATATAAATGACTTTATAAAATATATATCAAAAATAGTCATAAAAAGTATTGTGCAATTATAAAAATTTATACAGAAATTATAAATTTTGTGAGAGAAAAATATGCAACATATGTAATAGAAATATTTTTATACATGTGCTAAATAGATGTCAATGAAAATAATTTTATACAAGAAATATTTGCACATTTAAAACATATCAAATGATTATCATCAATGTATTTGATCATAATGATAACTTAGTGTAATAATAATAAAAATGTTCTAAAATAATCAAAACTAAAACTTTATATTAACAATTTGCATTAAATGTTTTTTTTAAACAAGATTTTCTGTCTAAACTGCATTCCTTAAAATATTTTTATATATTTAATAAATATTTGCATATTATCATCTTTTGTTTCTATAACATAATATGTATTTTAATTATGACACAACAATAAATACTGTTTACATTTTACTAAATCTCTTTCTGAAATAAATTTAGATTATGGCATAAAAAACTATAAATGCTTCAGGACACTTCGGTTTTCTAAGGCTATCATATTACGTAATATTAGAGCTATGTTAAGTCTTAGTTTGTGTAACATCTTAGGTGTTATCTCAAATGTCTTAGTTTGTCCATTCGATAGTTGCAATTTTAAAACTACTTTGGGTTTTGTCATATTAGAGATGGCACTAAAAATATAATTACAATTTTCATAAAAAATATTTAATAATTAAAATAAAATAAAACTGTTACCTGTGCATTAAAGAAATGTCTATTTTCCACAAAATATCCTTAGCTCGATGGATAACATTCGATGACTCATCAAAACTTAGTGATAGTTGCTGAGCATGTTGGCCAAATAAAGTATTGCACAAATCTTCTATAACTTCATTTTTAAAACTGAAATTGTTGAGTTTGATTAATATGTAAACCAAAACCATTTAACCTAGTCTATTATCATACTACAGCTCTCATAGCAGTGTTATGAAGGAAAAGATCAGTGCCAAAAGGATAAATAAATAATTCTACTATATTGAAGGGCCCCCCAGTACTTATTAGCCCCATCTTTTTGCACATCAGTATTTGAAATTTGCATAGTTTTATAGTTGGAATTGTGTTCCAAGAGATAGAATAATCTAATTAACTTATTTTATTTATTAACATATTTTAAATTTAATGTGTTTTCAACATGCTAATTATTTATGTAGTCTTTGTTTAAATACTCCAACGGAATGTGCTAATTATCTTTACATAATCAATTATAATACTTATTTTCTGAAAAGTATAGTTTGTACCTAAAATATTTTGTGTACACATACATATCTCTATATTCTGTTACTACTGTAGAATAACATATTAATCTGATTTATATTAAAAATGGCCAAATGTACAAAGACAATAATAATTAGTTGTAAGTAGCATTTTGCCTGGAGGCAATATAATCAAAACAATCAATAACAAATTAAATTCAGCTATTTAGGTGAAATATCCAACTGTTTATATTTCGAAAATAACATTTTAGCTTTCACTAATAAATAATCAATATGATTTTCAATTCATGTCTTCCAAGCATACTTATAATATCTGAAATTGTATAAATTAAATTAATTTGTCTAACTAATTTCATTTCATCTATTTCGCGTTCTTATATTTTATTTTATTTAAGTGTTGACGTCAACTAGAATCAGTAGCTACCGACAAAAGATCAAAGAACGTAGTACATAAGCTTCGACATAGATTCTGATTAGAATCTCTTAGCGCACGGTGCAATTCTGAACTTTGATGAATTTTTATAATTCAACTGCTTATTAAAGAGCTATATAATATTTAAAATTGTTATTTCAGACTCAAAGAGGCCTGGCTGGTCTTTACCAAAAACTATTCAACACGATTCCCAACCAATATATTTTGAACAGTTTTTAAATATTCAAAATCGATTCAAAATTGTGGGCTAAAACGTGCCCAAAAAATTTTGCAATTTTCAATACAATATTATTTGTAATACAGACAAATGCGAGTCCTTATCGAGTACATCAAATGGCTTTTAAATTTTTGAAATCGGTCCAGCGGTTTTTGAGAAAACGTCGACAAAATATCAAAAATCGACTCACACATATACGCATAATCATTAAGAGTGAGAAATATAGAATTCTAGAACCTCCCCCCATGTAGTAATACATAAAACAATGAGCCTCATGAGAATATACATACTTTAATTCATGAAGTACTTGATTTAGTTCATTTGCTTTGATTAAACCAAATGGTGCACGGAAGATAGTCTGCATAATTATTAATACAATAGTATAAAATTCAGATAAATCTTCTGTAATGCCTGTTCTATTTTTTATTAGAGCTAAAGGGTCTTCATTAGTGTAGCTTCCATCTAAACTTCGTCCGGCTACTAAAAAATAATAGTATAAAACAAATATTAAGAAATTAAACATTTGATACAGAAAAAGAAAAACATTTATTGAATTAACCGCTTAATGCACAACTCTATATATAGGCAATATTTACCACCAGGGGACTGGTAAAATCATAGTCACTGTAATTTTATGTCTCAATTTTTACGGGTCACGGTTAATAAAGAAATGTAATTTTCTGCAAGTATTGGGTTGTTCGGAAAGTAAATTCGTTTTTATAGACATTTTGAATAGTCATTTTCGTATAATGAACAAATACATACATTAATAAATTATGTATTGGCCGTTTTGATTGGACATCTTTTGTGATATTTCTAGTAGTACCATAATTCCGGAATCATACATTTTTTGGATGTTATTGCCATAAAACTGATCGATGCGCTTTTTGACCTCATTTGAGGTAAAGGTTTTAGGCTTTAAAATTTTTTTTAGTGACCAGAACAACTAATAGTTTGATAATGCCAGGACTGGAGAATGTGATGGATGTGGCATGGTGTCTCATGCCCAAACTTATGTGAGGTCTTGCTTCGTCTTGATGCAATACTATACCTTCTTTTTTCGGTTAATTCTGGCCTTTTCTATTGAAATACATAATTCAGTTTCCAGCTGATGACATAAGGCATCCGAAATAACCGTTATGTTATCCTGGGAAAGTTGAAAAACAAACAACTTCTTTAAAATCTTGTCAAACATACTGCATCACTTCTTTTTTTGGCGTAAATCGGCATTGCAACTGTTTTGAGCAGGTTCGTTTTTTTGTTTCCTAGACAGTTGCGTATATCGAATACTATACAAAGCATTTTACATTTCTAGTGACAAATTTGCTTCAAAACTGTAAGAACCATACATTGAGCTTCGAGGAAAATCCCAGTGGTCATCAACGGTTAAATTTAATAATTTTAAACTCAGTGCAATTTCATGTCTTGTTATCAGTCAGTCAGATCGCACCAACTAATGCTAATGGTCGCGTCTTTATCAGCTTCAACCATTCTTCTTGAACATACATCTTCGACATTAAAATACCAGGAACGAAAATTAGCAAAAGAGTTTTGGCACTGTCAATTTCATTTTGGTTTAAACATCATTTCTAGCTTTTTTTTTATTTGAATTTTAATATAATTCGTATACATCTCAGACATGGCAGAAGTGCCTGGTATGAGAGATTGTACAAAATATATATATATATATATATATATATATATATATACAAAGTCTAATAATCGGGCCTAACATCAATAAAAAACATGAATTTCTTTCAAAAATTTATTTTAAATCCATACGTTTCGGCTATAATCCTAGCCTTCATTCAGTGGAAACTAAAAATAAAATTAAAAACTAAAACAATTGAATTGGAGTGAAAAGAAAAAATAAAATAGTAATTAGTAGATCTCAGTGTTAAATTGGAAAATTTTAATAATCCATGGTATTAGGATATGGTAATGCACTACACTATGTATTATAAACATTAACTTGAAATTACACAATATTTTCACAAAATACTGATTTGAAAAAATCACAAATGGATAGTGTGTTATTCGTAGACTGGTTGAAGATGTAATGGAGAAAGACATTTTTTAAAAAATATTTTTACCAAGATTCTAACATGTGTGGAACGAATTGCGAATCCTTTGCACGAACGCTTTTATTGTTTTGTAAGAAATTTGGAAATGTTATCTAAATAGAAGAGATTTGTGTCGCACAGCGTGTTGAGTTCATTCTGTTTATTTATTGTCTTATTGTTATAAATAGTTAAAAAAGATCCCTCTATAATTCTTCGTTTAAATAATGCCCGATGTTATGCCCGATTATTAGACTTTGTTAATACATATGTCAACATCAAATTCAGAATCATACAAAATATATATATATATATATATATATATATATATATATCTACATATGATATGGTCATTACATCATTTATTCTATATTTTAATTATACGTATATTCATTTTTACATTCATGCTTTGGTCCAATTTATTTATCTACATTTTTTTATAATACTCTTTTAACTTAATTTTAAATTGATTATCTTCTTTGGTCATCTTTATTTCTTTCGGAAGCGCTTCATATAGTGTTCCACCTGGTTTTATTTGTTTTTGTTTGCTTTAGATGATAATTTTCCTGTTGTCTAGTATTGTGTTTGTGTATTTCCTTATTTATAGTTATCGATGTGTATGTTTTGATTGTTATGTTTAATCTTATGTATTAATTTGCACTTTTCTATTTTTATAATTCTATTTAATGGTAGGTTTCTAGCAAAATAGTAAAATACACCTAAGTCTGTTTTTACACGGTCTTTTTGTACACGGTTTTGATATAACACGGTTTGAAAATTGAATGTTTTTAATTTTTCCATTCCATTCCACGATTCCATTTAGCACGATTTGAAATTTCATGTACTTTTTTGTCAAATTTAATCTTTGCGAAGTATGTTCATATCACAAAAAAGTATTTATGAAAGAAAAAAGTATGAAACCATCGATAGTATCGATAGTTTGCGAAAAATTGAATAACCTATTCTTTTCGTTCACAACATAGTTTTTTAGTTTCTGATCTTGCCATACATTTAATTTATATTACTTTTAAGATAAGAGTGCATATCTTTTCTATCATTAATTACTATGCTTGTGAAAATAAGCATTATATATTTGATTTAATAAAATAAACATGAATTCTTGTTCTTAAAAATTCTTGTTTTTTACTAATTTTAATAGGTTTTAGAGATTAGGAACAAATCACCCATTTTTGTATAAGATCAATGTCTTTTTTTTACACGTTTTTTTTTTACACGGCTTCTTCTGGAACCAATCTACCGTGTAAAAACAGACTTAGGTGTATGTTGAAAATGCTGCTTAATTCTTTCTGTATTAAAGTGGCACCATTTAAAAACTACTGTGACTGATTTATTAGACATTTATACAAATAAACCTTAATATATAAGCTTCCAAATCATATAATAATTATAGGACTTAAACGAAATGTTAGGTTTTAAAAAATACAGTGGTAAAAAACGAGATGACTTTCCGAACAACCTTATACTTTGTTTCAAAATTTACCATACACGATTAAAATATTAATAATGTTTTGCATAAATTATATAGTTAAAATAAGCACAAATATATAGTTAAAAGCATTAATATATAGTTAAAATTAGCATTAATAATAGGTTGTCAAATATCTCCCTTCCGCGTTTTTGCTATTGGTTTATAATACAAAAAGGCGGAAGGGAGATATTTGACAACCTAATATATAGTTAAAAGAAGCACAAATATTATTTTATTGTAAAACAATATAAAAAAAATTCTGTACCTAAATTGATTTAAAAAAGTGCATTAAGGAGTTTAATAAATAAAGTGTAACTCATCTTACATTGGATAAGGGGCCTCACTAGTGTTTTTGAAATGTTTGGAATAAAATTGCTATAGGGCTTCAATTGCCATATTAAATCATCAAAGAATTTCGACATATTTGTATTTTATATCGAAATTATTATTATTACTAATATAGAATTTTCACCCCACGAAAATGTAGTTTTAATTCACCATACATCACATAAAAAGTGTAATAGCATTATGACGATTGGGGAATATCACGCACACTGAACATACGGCTAAAAAAATTGACATAAGTTGTTTTTTCATTGGTTTCAATAAATCAATTACGTTTATTATGACAGTGAATTATTCTGATTCTGATTCTGATTGTAATTATCTGTTCCGTTGTCGATCCTTCAACTCGTGAACCGAAGCAAAGGAACCACTCGCAATCTGTCAGAGTAACTGTCAACCTTTTTAATGAAAAGCATCAGTTGATCGGTGTCAAACATTAAATTTTGATTATTAGTTATTTTGTATTATTATCTTTTTAATGGATGCATCGTCACACTTTCAAGAAATAAACAATGGCTAGAGAATATGATCACCTATTTAAATTGCTCATAATCGGGGATAGTGGTGAGTGAAGGATTCATTTTCAAATTGGGTGGGCGAGGTCGAGTGATTAAGGGAATTAGAAACCGAAAATGAATAGATTTAACTAAAAAAAATGTGCGTTATTGAGGATGTAAATTTGTTGCGTGTTTTTTATTTTTGAAATTACGAGCATTTACCGAATGCGGGATGAACTTCTTAATTGATTGATAACCTTGCTCAAAATTGCAGCTCTTTAGATATTTGTGCTAAAAAAAAATATGTGAAACCTCAAAAAATATGTTTTCGTGAACTCAAGTGAATTTTGTTTACTTACATTATCTTTAGTGTTACTTGTAGATAGTATAAACTTAATTTATCTTTTAGCAATTAACATAAGAAATTATTTTATTGCTTGGTACTGTTCCGCTTTATCACTCAATTACAAATATTCAATTCCAATTTCTAATTCCTAAACCAAAGTCATTAGACCAATTAATTTCTGTTATCTTAGCCAATAAACCAATAAATAAATAAAATATCTATTATATTACATTAAACTCTTAATTATCACCATATCAGAATTTTTTTTATTGCGAATTTGATATTATTTCACTTATAGGCAACATTATGTATTTCTTTAAAAATCCAGACAATTAATTTTCTAAATTTAAATTTAAAAAAGTTTTAACAACTTTTAGGTGTTGGAAAATCATCGCTTTTACTCAGGTTTGCGGATAATACTTTTTCTGGAAGTTACATAACAACTATAGGTGTAGATTTCAAAATAAGAACTGTAGAAATTGATGGCCAACGAGTTAAACTACAAATATGGGATACTGCTGGACAGGAAAGATTTCGGACAATAACAAGCACGTATGTTACAATGTGTTACATTATTTCTACTCATCATTAAAGATCATCATATTGGTATATATATATATATGTAAACAAATGCTGTCAAGCAATGTTTTCATTTAATAAATTATTTGAGTAAAAATTAATATAAGTCTATTTCTATCCAAGTTTAAATTAAAATTTTATTACCAAAGATATTATCGTGGAACCCATGGTGTCATAGTGGTGTATGATGTAACAAGTGGAGAATCTTTTGCGAATGTTAAACGCTGGCTCGTGGAAATTGATCAAAATTGTGAAGTTGTAAATCGTGTACTGGGTAAGAGAGGAACTTGAATGGAAACAAAATAAATTTCTAGTTTAGTCTTCACCGCATAAATATTTTTTCAGTTGGCAACAAAAATGATTCTCCTGAAAGAAAGGTAGTCGTAACAGAAGACGCACAAAGGTTTGCTGATCAAATGGGAATTCAATTGTTTGAGACATCTGCAAAAGATAACATTAATGTTGAAGAAATGTTTATGAATGTAACAAAACAAGTATTAAGACATAAGCAACAAACTAGGGAACGTCAAGGTGATCACACTAGAGAAACTGTTGTACTCAACAGGAAAAGTGGTAAACCAAAAAAGAAATGTTGCTAACACACATGGTATCCTTGTATTTTATAGAAATACATTTATTAGGAATAAGAGCATTATTATATATGTAATTCATTCCTTTCCAATGTAAAAAATAAATTCATATATAAAAATGGTATAAAATTAAGTAAATAGGTGTGAATTTATAAAAGTAAGTCATTTTAATGTATGTTTTTAAATGCATGATTATGATGTATGTATGCAGGCACCATATGTGGAAACATATTTCAAAAGATTTTTTAAAAATTAAACTACATTATCACATTCCTAGATCAAAATAAATGAATCATTAAATGTGTAAAAAAGCTGAGTGGAAATGAATTTTACATATTAAAACCTTGAATGTTTTAATCAAACATGAACTTATTTGAAAAATTTCAACGAATTGTTTTGTTTTTATTTTTGCGCTAAATAAAATTTATATTGAAGATACTTGACTTTATCAATAATCATTTAGATCTATGACTGTGATAAGGCGAAATTGACATATCTTACTTCATAAAATCAAGATGATACTCAACCGCACTTTGTTTTTAGTCCAATGTGATTTTATAATGATGTTTACAAATCTACATAAGAAAACCTATGATCCTTTACAAACAATTAAACCAGTGCTTAGTTATTAATTTTGTTTATGACCTATGTAATGAATATAAGTCTGATAAAGATAGAATTATTGGGGCTGAAATACTGTTATTTCTGGCTGTATATCACCACTGTTTAGAATACCTAATAAAAAGAAATGATACAAACTAGGCATTACCCTTATAAACAACTTGCCAGAATTATCTAAGGCATTAATAAGTTAACATAGATTTCAATACTTACAATTTATTTGTAAAAATACTATTGTGTATATACTTGTAAAGTTACATTTTTCAATAAAGGAAATTTTTATTAGAGATGGTTGATAATTTGACTGGCTGAATTAAATAATTTAAATAATATTAATTTCATATAGATGCAATTTTATGTTATAGACTTACTAAACTATTGCAAAAATAAATGGCAAACAACCGAATTTCAGTATAGATCCATGTGGTACTAATGCAGTTCCTTCCCATCCTGCTGATAAAGGTGCTTTGGCAGAGCACCCGCATAAAGTAGGCCTCGCCGAAGGTAAGCTTGAAATACAAGATATATATTTTTAATAAAATTATTTTTATAATAGTTTAGGAGGGTGAATAAAATTTTTGAAAGATCATAAAAAAAGGCAAACAAAATTTTTATTATTTTTTTATGTTATTTATTAATTAAAATTTTAGTAACTCTAATTAAAATTAATTAAATGATTAGTAAATCTGAAACGGGGTGGGGTGGTCGAAACGAAAAAAACAAAATAACAACTGCCTAAAATAAAATCATCTTTTTGTTACAATTCCCGAATTTTTTTTAAATAGCATAGCAGTGTATACAAAGAAGACTGTAAAAATTTCAATTAAATTGGTTAGTCTTAACACATCATATGCAGGACGAGTAAAAATACCCGTCTTGAGGACTGGTGGTTATCAGTGGGTCAAGTATTTTGACCTGTGAATGAATGGGACTAACTTTAAAATCGGTCTACATATGTTATTGAAAGAGTAAGCAGTTTTTATTTAGTTTCAATCAATGTAGTTTTTCATGGTTTATTTTAGTATTTCAACATATATTTAACACTTTCCACTCGCGGCCTCTGAGTCGGAAGGGTTAATTACTATCAATACGTTAATTTAGTACATTTCCTTTATTTCTTTTCCTTGAAAGTTTTCACCTGGCCTCTTTGTTTTTATACATCAGTAAAAACTATTATTTATTTTAGTATTTTGATTATTTGCAATATAATTTTTTTTTATAATTTAAATCCTTTTGATTGGCAATATATAAAGGTGTGTAATTTAAATTCAAGAGTTTATGTTTAACAAAAGTTTTTTTTTCCAAGCTGGTATATTTAATTACTGGAATTCCTTCCTGGGAATTTGCTATCCATTCATAGTGTGTCAATTAAGTACATGACAAATAAAAACGATAATTGTAACTAATATTCATGTTTGTCATAGTTTATGAAATTATTATTCAAACTACTAAAAAAGCAATTTTTCTTATGAAATCCAATCAACAATAACAAATTATTGCACTTACCATTTCTGTTTATCACAGTTCACTTCTTTTCCGGTTCTGTTAAGAAGACCAGCAATTTCCAATATTTGTTTTTGACTTGTATCAGTAACATCAGAGTCATCGTCATTATGTTCAGTTAGGTCACATGAAAACAACTGACCATTCACCTCAGTTCCATGCTCAGAATAATTTAGAAGCTCAAAATGTCGAGATACCTGCAATTAGGTAAAATAATATATAATATATTAGTTAAAATGTGTGTATGTGTGTATATATATATATACATTTATATATACATATATATATATATATATATATATATATATACATATATAATGCTAAGAATCATTTGAAAATGTTTTCAATAATATCAAAATTATAAAAACCTCATCGTAGAATATAACAGCATGTCTGGTTGAAATATTATTGCAGTAACCAAATGTGGATAGTTGCACATCGTTACCAGGACCTGAACCAATAGTTAAACTGCGATACCTCATCTTCACACATTTTTCATCCAAAGTATTGGAATCAGTAAACCATTTAGAACCATTGAAAATATCTTTAACATATTTCAAAACAGCTCTCACACCAATATTAATGTCCGTTTCCTTCTCAGGTGTTACACGTGAAGCAGAATTCAAAGTTGTTTTAACTGGGGGATTGTTACTCGAAGTTGTCATACCAACATTTCGTTCTTCATTATTTTTTTGCTGATTTTCATTATATCTATTGTTAGAAATATTGCCTCTGTATACTTTCTGCGGACTACTAAAATCTTTCGATATTCTCTCAATGTCAGCAGCAGTTAGAAGTTCACTTGGTAAAGTTACATTTTTATGTAAATTTTGTTTAGGATATACATGTTCTGCTATCAAATGATTCAATCTCTGGTAAGCTAATAACTTTATAACATCTTCATTTAATTCATTCATATTTAGGTTAACTGTAAATTGATCAAAATTGTAATCATTTATTCAAAATTCAAAAAGATTTTCATAACTTACCATTAATGGAAGCACTTTTTATATCATTCAATATAAGATTTGTCATATCTTTCCAATCACAATCACTTAGTTTATTTCTTTTATTTGGTGGTTCTGGATTTACAGTATCAATAACCGTTCGTTTTATTCCTATAGCCGCCTGCCCATGATTCTGATCAGAACCCATATCTTGTTTTTCAAAGTTATTTTCAACTAAAATTTCATTTTCCCCTGTGATAGTTTTATTCTCACCTATATCATCCACTTGCACTCTATTTTCAGAATTATTTTGTTCTAAATCCTTTTCTATATCTGACCTTTGTTTTGAGTTATTCAATGACTTTTCTATTAATTTTCTTATTTGAATTTCATCTGTTTTTCTAAATACTAAAGGTTCGTGGCTAAAGCCACTATTATACAATAACTCAAATCTTCGAATATCACGTATACTTGGTTGCAAGTGAGGCCTATTTTTATAGTGATATTTTATCATTTCTGGGATGCGTATCCTAGATGGATCGTTTATTAATTTAGTTTTTATTCTAGTACGGAAAGGACCATTCTCTGTATAAATTCTCCTGAGAAAATCAGTCTTTACTGTATGTTGATCCACAGGACCAGAATACTTATTCCATAAACGTAAACGTTCTGTAGCTGAAGTTGATGATACTAATTTCCAATCCTACAATTAATAATAATATAAATAATAATAATGAGATATCTATAATGCATTCCAAAATTAAAATTTCTTCTATACTCACAATCAATTGTTCTGGATGATTAGGACACATCCAAATTCCAGAAGGAATTGCTGTCATAGGTGGATCCAAACAATCCTAAAAAAATAATAAATTTAATAAGACTATTTTCTATATAAATATTCGAGCATAACTTAAATAATCCTCTGCAGGGTATATAACAAGCCATTTTGAAAAACAATTGTTCAAATCATACTCCCTCAACACTACCAGGGTCAGATTTAAATAGGAATACATGTCTGACAATCGTCTGATGATTTTGTATTTTAATGTTATTTTTTCAAATTCGTGAAATCTGCCAATTACTTCATTGATTAAAACGATCCTAGTTAAAAAAAAAATTGTAATAAAATGTTAAATGGGTTTATTTACTTTTAACTTTTCAATTCCAAGTAAAAATTTTCCAAAATATATTTCATAATGAAACTACATCTTTAAATTGTTATTGCAAAAGTTGAAATTTTTTGCAATGAACTACATCCTTAAGAATTAAAAAATTAAAAAATGTAGGAATACAAATTATGTGTGTAGTCTCTTAAATTGGAGATTTGAACTAACAAATAGTAACCTACTTAAAATTATACCGTACCTGATGAAAATATAAAGGACAATAGTCACAAGCTAGCAATGGAGCCTTTCTACAAGATTTTCCACACTCATAGCAAGTTCTAACTGGCAAAGCTACAACTCCTAATAAAATAAAATAAAATAGTAGTTTTTATAAATAATTTTGGAATTTTATTTACACCATAAAAATCTTAATTACTATACATCATTTTAACAATAAATGAAATAACACACATGAATACTGTAATTATTACTATCAATCAACTCACCTGAGGGATCCAATTCATGAGGCTTACGAGCTGGTCGTCCACATCTTCTACCATTCCTAGCTTCAACTAAGATGAAATAAAGCAATACAAAAACAATTACATTTAATATTATTTCATTTTACCTTTATCCATTCCCGGAAACTGTATTGGCACAGTTAATTCTCTTGGTAGTTCAAATTGTCTTGGATTTAACAAACTTGCTGCTTTTATTAATTCATCCATTAGAGAATGCCGTTTTTTTTCAGTTGGTTTATCTTTATTAACTGTCGATGGCGGTTTCATAATCACATCAGCTTCTGAATCAGCTAGATCATTATTTTTTTGTCTGAAATTGAAATAATATAATTAGCCCAAATTTTCAATACATAAATGCAAATATTTTTGCAATAAATATTTGAAATAAATAAACAAAAAACATAATTTGAATCAATAAAAATAATTCTTTGTCAACTCACTTTTCGTTCTCTGGTTTACCCAACAAGGGTGCAACAGCTGCATTTATAACTTTGAGATCATCTTCAATTTTTTTCTTCATATCATCCCTACCTTGATTTAGTGTTGGAGATAATGAGCGAGAACGATTTTTTTGTGAATCTGGAGGTGGTGACACTTTATTACTGGCATTAGCTGAAGTTGTTGTTAAAGTTTTCAATGTTCCTGAATTTGTCATATTTGATTCTTTTTTAAGTTGTTTACATTTATGACAAAGCCATTGACCATCTGGTATATCAGATTCTTCTAATGGGGGATCACTAAAAGCAAAAAATGAATAAATGTATATCTGCATATATATTTATAATAAAATTAAATCTTACTGGCAAGTAAGGTGAAAACTAGATGGGCATTGGTCACAACAAATTAAGGCACCACCTTCTTTGCAGGCATCACAAGCATTGCTAAAACAATACATTTATTATATTTGAGTAAACAATAGTTTTTTTCCTTTTTTGATAAGGCATTCAAACCGATTATGAGCTTTTCCATAGCGCTTATAGTAAGGGTGTGATGTTGTCTTCTTCGCCTTTTCTTCATCAGGAGGTCTTATTAGAGCTTGTATCAACTTTAAAAAAAAATTATAATATTGTAAGTTTAAAGTAAATAAACTATTTAAGATTTATAAATTCACTTACAGGCATCAAACTGCCTGGAACGTCGGAATCATGATTGCTTTTTGACATTATGTTTATGGTTGCTATTATGCCCTTATACTTTGTATCGCATTACTTAAAAAAAGCTGAAAAATTATAAAAACAAGACGTTTGTTAATTTCATTGTTGAATCTTTGACACAAGCATTATCGGGTATCTGTCAATTGAAAATAGTGCCATTACATTTCTTCACAACTATTGGCAGTACGTATTTTCGAACATATTACTAACTTCAGTATAATGTTAGATGACAAATTCAAGCGAAACTGTCAAAGAGGTGATAAGTTAGGTGTGGTTCAGGTTAACAAAATCCTAATATTCGGAGTGAAAGTTTCTATATTTCTATTAAAATGTCAGCAACTCTTAGGCCATATTTAAATGCTGTTCGTCATACGTTGACGGCTGCTATGTGTTTGGATAATTTTTCATCTCAGGTTGTGGAAAGGCACAACAAGCCAGAAGTAGAGGTTAGAACAAGTAAAGAACTTTTGTTAACGCCCGTAATAATCTCAAGAAACGAAAAAGAAAAAGTGCTAATTGAGTCATCTGTAAATTCTGTTCGTGTAAGTATTGCAGTAAAACAAGCAGATGAGATTGAGAAAATTTTGTGTCACAAATTTATGCGATTTATGATGATGAGAGCTGAGAACTTTATTGTCTTGCGAAGAAAACCTATTGAAGGCTACGACATCAGTTTTCTTATTACCAATTGTCATACAGAGCAAATGTACAAACATAAATTAGTGGATTTTGTAATACACTTTATGGAAGAAATTGATAAAGAAGTAAGTGAAATGAAGCTGGCAGTCAATGCACGAGCAAGAATTTGTTCAGAAGAATTTTTGAAGAGATTTTGAAATAATGCCAAACAATTTGTTATAACATTGTTTATAACGTATAAGATAGTGTTAAGAATGTAATTCAAATTCATTTCCCGCGAAGGTACAGTTAGCATAAACACAATATGTATATATATATTTCAATTTTATTTCAATATTATTATTATTTTATTTCAATATTATGATGCATAAATACAAGTTATAAAAATTATCTTACAATATCTATTTTCGAGTTTTACGTAAACTAAAACCTTCGCCAGAAAAGGCCTCAAAGGGGTCATCAACATTTGATTCTTTAGCTTTAGGTTTTGAGTTTCGCATAAATCTTAATGTTCCAATTTTGTAATCATAATCAGGTATTCCTCGAACATAAGTCTGTGAAGTTATATTTAAGTTTGTAGATAATAAAAGCATTTTTATATTATATTTAAATTTATTGTTCTTACCTGTTTTACTATTGTTTCTGACATTCCAGAATCCTTTCGTTTTTTACCATCTAAACGATTTCCTTCTCCTTTAAATGCTACAAAGCCTGAAGACTCTGGCATTAATTCTGCAGGATCTAATTCTTCATTCGGTTCATTGGCTGGAACAGACCTCTCTGGTTCTGTGTAACCAACTGGGGCTGAGAATTCCACCTTCATTCAATTTTTATTAATAATTAATATAAAAATATGTAAAATCTTTACTAGGATATGCCAGCAAATTTTGAATCATGTAAAAGTAACCCGATCTTAAATCACAAAATTAATATTAATCACTAACATTCATATCACACTCAATTATGCTAACAGCATTTCCTGGTTTTGTTTCTAGCACACACATTTCATAAATTCGCTGATTATATTTGATGGCAATGACGTCACCTGTTGTCAAGCAAGCAAAACTTCTAAAATGATAAAAATACAGTTTAGTTTGTTAAATAAAATTAATTCTAATTTTTGATAATATGAAATATGCTTTACCTCAAACCATTTTCTAATACTGCCTTTGGATTGGTAATATCTAAGAAATCTGGGGATTGAGGTTGAAATCGTGAAAATGTGGCTACAGGCAAAGAGACGCTTTCAATTTGAAGCAAATCACCTTCTTCCAATAACAAATTATGCATCATCTATTTAAAAATAGAAGTACAATAAATATATACAAGTAGAAAAAAAGTTTCGGTAAGATCAAACTAATTACCCAGTATGGCAAATAAACTTTTCCTTCATCAGCAACAAATTCCAGAACACCACAGTGTGTAATTCGAGCTGTTTTTTGATTAGTCAATTTGAAAAGCATTGGATATACTATATTTAATCTTGTTAATTGGTCAAGTGCCGAGGGAGGCATTATTACTAAAATTGAGAAAAAAAATTAAAATAATATCATTTTGAGTTAATACGTTACCTGAATTTAACAAATGCATCTCAAAGATAAAATGTAATAAGACAAAATTTTGTTATAACATTAACATCTACTCAATAAATAAACTGCATAGATATAAACAAAACAATGCATTCAAATTAGAAAAATGTCAGTCACAACATTTTATTTCTGAGACATATAAAGTTATAAATATAACATTTATATACTTTTTCCACCACGTTCTACATCTTGTCGTTCATTGCCTGGAAGCATAGAAACTGAATAACATCTGTAGGATGTATTGAAAGGTCTTGGAATCTCCGGTAACATGTTGAACCCAAACTGAAACTATAATTATAAAATGGACACTTAATTCTCTCAAAATCATTCAGAATTTTAGTAAACATTTTTGATTATTATTAGTTGATTAGCATTAGTTTCTCTTATTATAAGTAAGATCTATTAATATTGGCAATTGATATATATTGCATATATTTCACATATAGCAAATTTGAAAATACATCAAATTAAGTTTGAAAAATATTTATTAAAATTCTAACCATGGTTATTGAATTTTAGTCACTGGTTAGAAAAAATTTAATACTGTATGTATGAATATTCGGATCTATTTCACAAAAATTTCTTGTTTTTATTTAAATGTTTTAAATAAGTCAAATCATGTTATACTGTCAGCTGTCAAACGTGTAAATGAATAGTTATTGTATAGATGTCACTACTGTATCACACGGCGCACGTGAAGACGACAGGAAAACGACATAGCATAACATAGAGGGCAATAATATATTATTTCATTGGACGAAAAATATCAACAATCAATCCGTCAACTGTTGATAACCTTCAAGAGTCAAAAGTCAAATTAGATTCGCATTGCACAAAAAAAACTAATAACATAAAAAACATTGAGACGTTAATTACAAAAAAATGTTTAAAAAATTACTTTGTAAACGGTCGCTGAGTCACAGCAGGTACATCGATATTGTTTGTATTCCTACAATACCATTTCTTGAAATAATATTAGAATGTGATATGACAAAATGTTGTTTCAGATTTCTACATATTTCAAATTCCAAAAATGTAGAAGCGTCAGATAAATCATGGCTTAGTAAATTATTGGTAAGGCGGATAGAACCTACGAAGGAATCTCACAGCCGAATGCTAAGTGATAAAGAAGTTGTATATGCCCTTCATACTCATAACATTCGACCAGATAGTGTAGATAAATATATGAAGAATTAGTAAGAACTTTTAATTAATAAGAAATTAATATCTTTATCTCTCGTAAGTTATAATCATATAAAAGAATCATATATTAGTAATAGTATCTTGGAATCACTTCTCAGCCAAAAGGTATTTTTAAGTTATCTTTTGTTACTTCGAAAAGTGACAGATAATTCCAGGGTCAGAATAAATTTTCTAGCATCATTGTAGAGCATCATATTGTAAACCTTGAATTTGGAAACTAATTTATGTAACTTTAAATTTTGTTATCATAACTTTATGTTCGATGTAAATAATGAAGTTCTATATCATTCAGCCTATTCTGTTTCCTATTTGAAACTATTACTGGTAATATTTTTGTTTTCTTCTTGCTCAATTAAATGCTTCACTAGATTCTCATTAGAGAGGTGTTTCTGAATGCTCCATTAGATCATCCATTAGATCATCATCAGAAAGGTTTTCCTGGTTGCTTATCTATTAGATCACCATTAGGAAGGTCTTTCTGGCTGCTCCACCAATTAGATAACCATTTGAAAGTTCTTTCTGGCAGTTCCTTTAGATCACCATCAGAAGAGTATAGCAAATAATGAGGTTCTATATCATTCAGACTGTTTCGTTTCCAATTTTCTACCATAAAATGTTATTTTTATTCATATTCGAAATCACTATTGGTAATATTTTCGTTTTCTTCTTGCTCAATTAAATGCTTCACTAGATTCTCATTAGAGAGGTCTTTCTGAATGCTCCATTAGATCACCATCAGAAAGGTTTTCCTGGATGCTCCTCTATTAGATCAGCATTAGAAAGGTCTTTCTGGCTGCTCTACCAACTAGATAATCATTAGAAATTTTTTTTTTTTGGCTATTCCATTAGGTCACCATCAGAAGTATATGTAAATGAGGTTCTATATCATTAGGCCTATTCTGTTTCCTATTTTCTACCATTCTTATTTTGTTCATATTTGAAATCACTACTGGTAATATTTTTGTTTTTTTCTTGCTCAATAAAATGCTTCACTAGATTCTCATTAGAGAGGTCTTTCTCAATGCTCCATTCATCAGAAAGATTTTCCTGGTTGTTTCTCTATTAGATCACCATTGGAAAGATCTTTCTGGCTGCTCCATCATTTGATAACCATTACAAAGTTCTTTCTGGCTGTTCCAAAGTTAGATCACCATCAGAAAAGTTAGCTGCTGTTTTTTGAACTATTTTTTCGACATCTTTTCTATTAATCTCATATAAATTGGTTTATTTTGCTAATGTCATCACTTTTACCAAATTAAGTTTCCAAAATTAGCTATTTTTATGTCTATTATATATGTCTATATAAGTTTAGTCTTATAAGTAACTAATATGAATTTTTATCTTAATATTAATCAATTTTGAGAATATTAATGTTTTTAATAACATTTATTTTAGCAAAACGACTGTAGAATTGGTCAATTCAAAAAAACAAAATTTAAGTTGTGAGTTAATAGGTTCTTGGACAGTGCAGGTAAATACATAAATCTAAGTTTTCTTAAATTTTTATATTATGAAAAGTTGATTATATGAAGAAATAATTTAACACTAAAGGTTGGTGATTTGGATCAAGCACTTCATTTGTGGCGTTACACTGGTGGTTATGAAAGGGTCGACCAAGCAATTTGTGAATTGGATAGCGATACTGTAATATATTCATAAATAAAATTTAATTAAATAAATATAGACTTAAGTGTTTTGTTAGGAATATGTAAAACTGACAAGCGAGAGAGGAAACTACTTAAGATCAAGGCACTTGCAATATTTGCTATCCTTCAGCTATTGGCCTGCCTTGGAATTACGAAAAGGGAATAATATGTATGAAATTCGTTCGTACAGTTTAAAGCCTGGAACCATGATAGAATGGGGTAATAATTGGGCACGTGCTATCAATCATAGAAGAAATAATGATGAAGCTTTTGCTGGATTCTTTTCTCAAATTGGTAGATTATACAATGTGCATCACATATGGTGTGAGTAAAATTTAATTTTGATTATTATTAACCCATATAGTTAATGTAGACAATTGTTTAATATGAACTTACATCTCATGTTAAAGGTTACAAAGATTTGGAAACCAGACGCGAAACGAGACAGAGCGCATGGAGGTCGCCTGGTTGGGATGAATGTGTAGCATATACCGTTCCCCTCATCAGAGAAATGCATTGCAGGATATTAAAACCAACCGATTTTTCTCCCACTAAGTAAAAGAAATCTATAAGAGTTTACAAAACAATTATCAGCATTTTTAATCAATATAAAAATAAATTAATTAATAAACGCACTGGATAGTTTGTTTATTACTTAATAATTTGATGATCATTCATAGCAAGGGCTCGTATTTATAGAAAAACAATACTTTTTCTTATATATTTCCTTTAATTAACTAATTCAGGAAATATTAGATTGAATTTATTCAATCAATTGTGAAGGTTATAAATAAAGTAGTATATACGTTTATTTTGAATTATTGAACTTGGTTATATAATATAAAATATTTAATAGAACTTTTATATACAACATTTACTGTATTCTATTTGTACACATTTAAAATGAAATAAATATATTTTATTAATGAAAGTATAAGTGAATTTAAATTTTTATTTTTACATAAAAGACAATGTTTGGACTAAGAAATGTTGTTCTAAATTTATCTATGTGCAAGAACAATGGTAATATTTTGCAATTGTTTGTTTCTACAATAATAGATTTAACAACTAAAACTAAATACTTCCATTATATAACGCATCAGCACTCATAAATATTTAATTTGATTTTCATAATCTCATATAAAATTTGTGAAACCACAGTATTAACTACACTAGAGCATTTTTAGTATAATCAAGTGTTACGAAAGATTTATAAATCTTTAATAATATAAACCATATATAAATTTTATGAGTTATTGTAATCTATTGCTTGGTGTTACTAAAATTTATTATGCAGCTAGGAATATAAAATATAAAAATCTGAAGTCATACATCTATTTTATCAGATAATATTAACGTACATATTATATACTGACGAACATACACGCTTATACGTATATACAAAATATACATAATTTCTATATTTGGATTAATGAAATCATGGAAATATTGAAGTTGTTGGACCACATAGTGATGTTTTGATAGTTAGTCAGTCATAATGACCATCTGCATTCAACATGTTGGCATAAAGAACTTTTCTATTAAGTACTAAATCATTTCTGGTGTTATTCAATAAAATCAAATATTATTGTCTGCAATAAAAACATCACTATGTATACCGACAAATCAACTCTATTTAAACCAGACAATAAATTAAATTCATATTTACTGCTAAAAACAAGCAGATCGCAAATACTGCACAAAATCTTATTTTTAGTCTCGTCAATATTTAATAACAAATACTGACAAATTCTGGTGAATATGTCGAGAACCTGGCAATGCAATTAGTGATGTACAGGATTAAAAGATTGATGTTGAAAATGCAAGAAAATTGCACTAAAAGTTGCGTGAAAATTTTAATATTTATGATACCAATCACGAAATAATTGTATCAGTACGCAAACGCGGAGCCAGGCGCCTTACATATATAATTATAAATTATACCTTTTTTATGTGATTAAGATGCAAAAATTTGCCCAACTTTTACTTAATTCGCGTTAGTACCCGGGACTTTTGTAAAAAACTTGTTGCATTTGTAGCATATTAGCACTAGCGCTAGCACTAAAATTCTATGTTTGAATTTTTGAAACAAAAAATAGTGCATTTTTACGGCTAAGATATTCAAGTTTAATGCAGGGTTTATATTTTCTTCATTTTTATACAATACATATAAATATTTGTACAAACATTGCATACTGAAAACAGGAATATAAGTTCAATTAATTATATGCAAAATGTTAAGTATATATTTAACAATACACAATAAATTGAACAATCACATTTAGTAAACACACACACATGTATTATATATATATATATATATATATATATATATATATATATATAACATGCAAATATTAGCATATATACTCTGTTTCTGGAGAAACTTATTTCATAGATTTAAATTACAGTCGCGTGGAAATGGTGATATGTCTCATCATCAGTGTAAATTCTTACAGCTAAAGTAAAATTATATAACACATTATAAAATACAATTATAACGTTCTCTTTATCGGGTTTTAAATTTATTTCTTCATTTAATTGATTTCTTTTCATATTTTCTCCCTTCATTTCAGTCATTTAAATTATAATGATAGATACCCCTTTAGCTCTGGGTACTTATAATATTATTTTTAAATATTCCTACATGTTCCCATTCCATTTCACATATACAGAGCATTACGACAGAAAGTTGATAGTTTACCTCTAATTAAACATAATTTAGAGTAAATGTTACATAATGTGTTAAAATATATACTTCTGCTTGAAGAATGTTCTGATATGAGACATATTACGTTCTCGAAACGTCTAGAAAATAAAGTTCATGCAAAAAACAGAGCATAGTGTAGTCAAATTCACATATTTAAAATTCACTTATATATATATATATATATATATATATATATATATATATATATATATATATTTACTGAGACGATGTATCTTATATATAAGTCAAATTGACTTTGAATATGACAGAATAATTTATATCATCAGTAGATATCAGATATTGGAGTCTCACGATCTTTATTAACTCAAAGGCATCTGAAGATATACTTTCTTGTAAAAAATCTTGTATTTTATATACATTATTCGTATTACACTGCAGTAAATGTTAGTGTTAATTATGTACGATGTGCACATATATGATGTGGGACTACAATGTCTAATAGTGATGTATCGCCTTAGAAGAATTTATTCATAAATCTCAACATCCAAATTAATTAACACACATATATATATATATATATATGTATTTTTTTTTTCAGATATTGATAAATGAATTGATAAAACAAAATCCTTCTTAAACAGGCATCCATCCAAATAATAATAATAAAAAAAACTAAATTATGTTTCTAAAAATAATTTCGTTTTGAGTCCCAATTTGACTCTTGTTCAGTGAACAAAACACACAAGTTATTTAATCACAAAACAAAAAATATTCAATGAAAATAATACTTCAACAACAACAATGTTAGTGTAAAGAAATAAGAGATATTTAATTCGACAAACCAAATTAAGATAATAATGTCGACTATCATGCATTAAAGGGTTCAATAACAACCTGACACTGTTAGTCTTGTCCTAACAATGTACTAAAAATAATTATATTTAGAAACATAATTTTGTTTTATTATCTGGATGAATGCATACGCATAAATGTGTGTGTGTGTGTTTATAATTTTATGAAATTATTGCAAGAAATGAAAATAATTAAAATAAAGTTCTCATTAATATGGCAGTGAAATAATGTTTTCAATTTGCATTCATCATCAAATTTATCAACTAAAATAATCGAAGTTAGTGACAGCAAAAACTCTTAGGATTGAAATCAAAAACTTTTCTTTAACATCACTTTTTTTTAATTTGGCAGTTTACAATACAATTTTATTAATTGTAATTTTAATAATTGGCCATCAGACATTTATTAGAGAAAACGTAAAATATTTTCTTTGCTTTTGTAATTACATTGAAAAATATAATTTTAGCGACAGAATTTACACTAGTGTGAATAATTTTGTTGTGTAAAATAGAATAAGTTATTTATACATTCCTGAGCACACAAAATCCTAAAATTTATCTTCAATTTTGTTATGTTTATTAGAATTGTTTGAATTAAGATCATCCATTTAGAAAAAATAAAAGGAACGAAACAGAATAAAATATTTTTCACAGCACAACAAGAAAAAGCGTAACAATGTATACTTCCAAAAGCAAAAAAATATTTTCATCAAAATGATGTCCGTTACTTATAAGTATAATTGTTAATGATGAAATAATAACAGGTTTAAAATAATGAATAAATTACAATATTGGCATTATTTAATAGAATTATATATCAAATGTTATATAAAGATCACAAAATATTATTCTAAATCAGGTCAATTTATGAATGAAAAATACTTTTTACATTGTCCAAGCTTTTTGTTCATTCAAAAACGAATGAATTTCAGAAAATGTTAAACTATTTCTGTCCACAATTTAAATCTTATTTCAGTCAACAATATAACATAATTATTAATATTTGCTGTAGACCAAATCGATTCTTTAATGAGAACAAAAATACAAAAAAAGTAATATCATTGGACGATGTACAAGTATTATCCCTTGTAAATTTATGCCCTCTCTGGTTTAAATTTTGATCGTATCTGTTTTTATTAAGTCGACAGCGCAATCTGAATTTTGTAACGTGATTCAAAAAGTTTATAATTTAACAATCTTACAAACTATGCTGAATAAGAAAATTGAAACATCAATGCTAAAACTGTATATTGATAGTATTAACAAATCTTTACAGGCTAAAAACAATACAAAATATTTAAAAATTTTGTTATAAACTAAAATATATACTTATGTACACTGAGGCGCAGTCATTTTTTAACTATCCTCACATTGTGAGAAAAAAGGTTTTGTTTAGTATAGAAGCTCAATGAATCGAATTTAAATATAAATATTTATATAAAGCTTTTATACAAAATGACAATGTACGAGAAGTGGGAAAAAATCTGAATATTTCTTCATATCGATTTGCATAAAAAGCAAATAGTGCAAATGAGCCATGAGGAAGATTTAGAAGTGATGAATCTTTAAAGGAGTATTCTGGTCTAGATGTACAAATTATATTAAATTTTTGAAAAGCCATGAAATATATATTCGAATAATATTTTTATAATAATATAATATAACTTATTACTTAATATTTTGAGCATGTGGAAACAAATTAAAATTAAAAAGAGTCAAAGTTGTCTAAAAAGTGATAAGTGTGGGATCTCATCAACAAATTGACATGTGACTATACGCACGATTTCAGCCCTCCAAATAAACCGAATAATACATATATATATATATATATATATATATATATATATATATATATACATACATACATATATATAGTGTATATATATATATATATATATATATATATATATATATATATATTAATAATCTAGAATAATTATATTCAAGGACAAGTTAAATAAAAGTTTTTTTTAAAAATTGCGACCGTCTGAAGAAAAAAATCCACATCCAACCAATTTTTTTCGACATTCTCAATTAAAAAAAAAAAACAGAAAAAACCTGAATTCGAAGATCAGTAGCTCTTACTAAAGAGAAGTCTCTCAAAAATGCGAGTTTCGAGAAAACGGGTTTGAAGTTTTGCAGAGGAAGTAAACAGAAGAGGATTATCATGATCAAACAGCTATATTTCCAAAAATAATTTGAATTTTGTAAATTCCTTTTGTACACATATTCTTGAAGAGTTATACTTTGAAAATATATATAAAAAAATAAAATCAATGTTTAAACCTTTCTAGGCCAGAATAGCCCTTTAAGTGGGTCATTGCATTCAAATTATTTATAAGCAAATTAAAATAAACGTCACTAAGCAGAAAAATAACAAAGTAAATTTTCCTGATTTTATAATGATACTTCATTTCAAATTCGTAATCTCATTTTTTATTCGGCATCAAATCTCATTTCAGAATTATAAGATACTTCAATGCCAACAAAAACCTGCTTATCTGTTACAAATATTAATCTGGACACCATAATTAGGCACACACTATGGTTTTAATAATATAGTAACTAGTTGTAGTGTATTCTAGCATGTATCTAATATCATATGTTATATAATGTCAATATAAGTATTTACCAGAAATATTTTAATTATCGAAAAAAGAATTTCTTTTATCTGATTTTCTTAATAAAACATAAGATGTCACATACCATTGATCTAATGGCATTTTATACTTCAATATGTTAAATAAATTATTTTTAAGCAATGACCCATAACTGGCTAATAAACAAAAGAAGTTGTAATTGACCAAAGGCATCGAAAAAATCGAGCATATTTTTCTACTGTATTCTTTCTTCCTTATACAAAGCACTTCAATTTTAAATTAAAAGGGATATCTGGTGTATTGCATAATAATTACCTTATATTTTGTGTTATATATATATACATATGATATAATAATTTAGGCATTTAAATTCAATGTGCTTATTATGTTTTCTCATGATTAGTTCAGCAATATATATTTTTATTTGACTATAATCAAATCAACAGTGTGGATTATCCTTAAATTTATCTTATCTTCCATTTAATTTGTAAGATGGTCCTGCAAATTAGTTTTTATTAATAAATTTCTGTAATAAGCAGAAGCAACTAACAAATGGCAAACTAAATAATAATTGTTATTGTGACCGCATGATTAATTTCTATATATATTTAGGTAACCTCCAGGAACAGATGATTATGCAAATAGTGAGTGAGTTCAACTAGGTGTTTTCAGAAATCTAACCATGAGCAAATCATTTGAAATTTGTGCTATAAAACAGTTTCCATCAACCGAGTTCGTATGCAGTACCATATCAGTCATCGTTTCATCATTTTATTTAAAGTTTTTAAAATAAAACATTTTTTTTTTTTCAAATTACCGAAAATAGTTAGATTACTTAATATTTCCAACATAATACAGTGGTATCCCGACTTACGAATGACCTTACATACGAGTGTTTCGAGATACCAGCCGCCAAAGAAGCGACGTCAGTCTCGACGGGTTTCGGAAAATTTCGGCAGTTGTAACAATGATACACCATAGAAATATTTTGTATGTTTTATGATAGTAAATTATTTTATAGTTAGTCATTTCAATTATATATTAACATTAATTGTGTAGTAACGATTTACCCACGCGAACATAGCATAAATTATTTTAACATTTAAAATTATGATTATACATTAATAGTAATTGTACAGCTATATATGTTGAGTTCGTGTTTTTTTGTTTTTTGTACATTTACAAAATATTATGCAATGTCGCTTAAATCAAATAGTGAAATTATTATTATTAATTATGTACGAACGCAGCACATCACAAAAATGTACTGTATTTAAACAGAATGTTGTTCAAGAAAACTTGTCTAACTCATTTTTGCAACATCATGAATGAATAGAAAAATTAAATTAATAAACACTAAATTTGTTTTTAATAATAAAATAAACACAGCGCTAGATTGAATTAATGGCGTTTCTTTGTATTTATATGAAAAAAATTGCTTCGAAATACGAGCGTATTTACGGAACGAATTAAACTCGTATGTCGGGGTACCGCTGTAAAATGTTAATGTAAATTTTGTAACAACAAATTCAAAATATTAATTTCTGAATAATATGTGAATAGAAACATAAACATAGCTTAGAAAAATGTTATTTCGATTATATTAAAATATTTCAGAAACCCAGTTTTTGAAATGTTTACTAATAAATTATAAGCGTCATATAAATATTGTGATTAGATTTTTAAAAATTACTGTAGTTGAAATCATATGGAACAAGTTTTGGCATAAAAAGTTTTTAAGCCAATAAACACACAATCATATTCATTCTGAACTGTATGGCAGTTAAAAACAAAATTAACACAAATATAAAATTTATTGTGTTACAATAATATTTGTATATTATTAGTATGTATAATATCATGCTTCAAATTAATGTTTTAGTTATAGAAAATATGTGGAGGAAGTAACTCCTGCAATCAATGGAAGGTTACCTGTGTAAATATATATGATGTATTTTATAATGACAATTTATTAGTTAGTAATGAATAATTTGGTATCATGTGCTGTTCAAAAAAGCTTCTATATAAATTACATTTCCTACAACGAACCTGCTGGAAAACTTGTAGAACTATTGCTATGAGCTAAACTTAGCATTGATCCAGATAGACTGGCTTCTTCATCCGGGTACGTTTCTTTGGGTGCTTCAGCAATGGCCAGTGCGCTATATCATAGTTTTATGCACATATAATATTTGTATTTATATACAAATCATAAAGTTTAATAAAACCGAATTAATTATCAATGCTAAATAAAATATTGGATTATTGACTTTACACGACAAATTGTTTTTAAAGAATCCTAATTGTAATCTTAATACAGTATCCGAAACCATTCACAAAAGAGTATTAAGAACAATTTTGTGACAAATATCTATAATGACATCGTACAAGTTATTTTTAACAGTTTTTTCATAGTGACAAAATATTCGCAATAAATAACATACCTGAAACCTGATCTTGCGCTTTCCTCATCAAAACTATCAAGTTCTCTTTCTTGACGTTCTTGAAGTAAGCGAACACGTTCGGAACGCTCATGGAGAAACTGTTGTAGTTCTGAGTCCATCTGCAATTAAAAAATCTATTACAGTAAAACCTCCTTATTCGCGGAAAATATGTTCCGTAAAAATTCCGTGAATAAAAAATCCGCAAATACAAAATGGTAATTTATATGAAATCATAGGGATACGTACCAAGATGACTAAATAATCCAAAAATAATGAATAAATATGCAAATACAGGATGGCATTTTATATGGAATTGTAGGGAATATGTTCCAAGGTGACACAATGAAAAAAAAATATTGTTGAGAACTATTATTTAATATGCAATATTTTAAGTATAACAGATCCCATTTTAAAATTAGTTAGTAATAAGTAATAAATCTAACATTAATATAAAACTTTATATTAATTACAATAATAAATTAAAATAAATGTCAACTTATAAAAGTTTTATATTAATGCTAGATGTGGTACTAAACTTATTACCAACTAATTTTAGTATGAGATCTGTTACACTTAAGATATTGCATATCACATAATAGTTCTCAGCAATATATAAAACAAATATCGTTGTTAATTATAGTTTTTGTGCATTTTGATTAATTTTGTTGAGGCTTAGGCAATGATTTGAAGAACTTGTAATATTGTTTTGCTTCTTTAATTCAAACTGATATTTAGTCACATCAGTAATTTGCCTCTTAAAAATAATACTTTTCATATACGGATCAATGCCCATATAGAAATTGCACAGTTCACTTTAATTCTTCACTAACATTTTTAAAATTAAATGTCACGTTTCTATGCTTGTAGAAGCAATTGAAGTGAATTGCTCTTCTTCGATGGGCTGGGAATGTGGATTTCGTGTTGATTTGAGACAAATTTTACTAAAAATCTATTTCATTCATTGAGCAATAAATAAGGTTGTTTTCATTCTATTAGTTTACATTCTCAAAAACACCGACAGCGGCGAAGACGCCCAAGGCAACGGAGGCGTCTTATGTCAAAGATTTCTTTATTAGTTCAAAATCCGCGAATAACGAAATTTTTAGTCGCGAATATAGAAATTGGGTCAAGTTTTTTAGCTGCGAATAGCGAAAACGCGTATATAGGAAGCGTGAATAAGGAACTTCTAGTGTACATACTTTTTCAAATTTCGTCTCATTCGATTCAAGACTTGAAACATAGATAAAACATAAAATTAGCAAGTCGGATTTTTTCGCGAAAATATAAATTTCACCTTCGGGAAGTTAAAAAATCTATAATTAATGCCCATAATTTATAATAACATTTTTTTCTTACCTTTTGCTCCAATAAAGCCCTTCTGACTGAAACACGATCTTCTAATTCCCTCCTTTCACGATTTCGTTGTGCCTCCGCTTGCATTTTATTTTTACTTTGGTAAGCCATCAATATCTCTAACTCATAATTTAATCTAAAATAAAGAAAATAGTGCTGCTTATTGAATATATTTGTGCCTCAGAGAATTTATTACAAATATATCTGATAAAATAAAAGCATAAAAAAGATTAAGTTAACAAACGATAAAAAACAAAAGTTTATTACTTTTCTTTGAGGTGGTGACAACTCATCTCCTGCGTCTCATCAAGTTTGATACTTTGTTTTTGCAACATCTCAGCGATGCTTTGTTCATACTGTTCTCCCAATAATGCTAGCTTACGCCTTTGCTCTTCTTTCAATTTCTTTATAACTGCTTTTTGATCATCTTTTGGAGTACTTTGAAGAATATGCGCTTTCAGTGCTTTATATTGTCTAGTTTGAGTTTTGCAAGTTTCACGGTATTGTTTACGGATTTGCATTTCTTTTTGCTGTAATTTTTTTTTAAGTGTCATTGAAATTGAATGATAATTTGAGAGTAAATTAAATTATTTTCTAAAATGTGTGTTGATCTATTAATTTCCTACTTATCCTGGTCTACACAAAAAAAAAACTTATTTTTTTAAACTTGTCTGATGTTCATACAATTGTGACATTATAGATTAATAATAAATGATTTTTTTTTTAAAGATTATTTAAAGGGCTATAATCATGTGGGTATTAACAGATGCCATTTTTTTAAAAAAAAACCCACTTCATCACATTCTAGAGTTAAAACTTTAATTCTTTCTGTTAGGCCTATTTTTAATTTTTATTTTACTTCTATATTCTTAAAACATTAATTAATAAATTTTAATAAATGCATAAAACTCATGCCTCTATGACATAATAACAGAAGTCTATGCCTCTATGCCAATTAAAATAGTAATAATCAAAATTCAGAAATGCCACAAGAATGTAGTTAGTATTTGCATCTCTATTTTTTTACTTAAATAATAAACAAGTTTATATCATAAAAACAATAAATCACAAAATCGATATTAAGTAAAATAGTCACCTTAAGGCTTTTCGGCTGTTGCTTTAATTCTAAAGCATGTTTTTTCCTTAGTTCACGTTCCGCCCTCTGCATGTAATCATTTTGATTTTGCAGTTCAGTCCCATGCTGCTTCATAATTTGTTCCTCTCGTAAAGAATGAACACCTTTTTGTTGACGATACTCTAATTCTTGTGTTTTTTCATGATGTCGCAAAAGCATAATATGGGCTTGTTCAAGTTGACCTTGTCTTTTGTTAAGTTCCTATGTTTTTTTAACATTTTAATTGTTTGCGATATAAAATATACAATATATATATATATATATATATGTGATATACAAAAATATAAAGTATTTTTACCTCTCTTAACAACTCTTGCTCAAGGTTATGAAATGCACATAATTTTTTTCGGCGAAACTTTCTAATTTCCAATTCCAAATAATCTTTTTGACCACGCAGAAGTCTCTGTTCTTCTTGCGCCTCAGCTTGTTTTAAATTTTCTTTTTGGGATCTGAACACAACATTGAAATATTAATTTAATAAATACAATCAAATCAGACTAGTAATCTATATAAAAATCCAAACAATAAAAAGTCATCTTACTGCAATGTAGCATCCCTTTGACGCTTTGGTGTAGATTCATCCATTGATAGTTCTCTCTTCCACCTTTCCTTATTTGCTTTGTATTCCTTTTTCCTATGTGTATCAAACGCTTTTTTATCATTTTCTTGTCTAGCTACAATATCTTTCTGCAGTTTTTTCTCTGCAGCATTATTGGCTTTCAATTTTCTTTCTAAATCTTGCTGATGCCGTGCTTGTAACCGTTCTAATTCCCTACTAAATGTTTGAAGTAAAACTTCATATTCTTTATCTAAGTTACTCTTATGTGCTTCCATTTCTAATTTACAACGCTCTTCTAATTTGATTAGGGCACTTTGATGCTCCCGCCGCATTCGTTTGTAACCAGACATTTGCTCATGCATTTCCTCCTAAAATAACCATTTGATTAATATTAAATACGATTATCATAAGCAAAAATATCATGTAAAGCTGTTTTTCCATTCAAAAATATAATATTTAATATGAAAGGAAGGCATTGTGTTGTAGTAACAGACCTGCATGTGCTCCTTTTGCTGTTTGGTAACAATACTTGTTGTTCTAATTGTTGCAAAATTATTTGCACCGTGCTCAGCTACCATCATAGCAGCTGTTGCAGCAACATGATTTCCCATAACACCACCCATACCCCTTGAACAAAAAAATATACATAAGTTGCAATAATTATAAATATACTTTAAAACAAAATTTATCTGATTCGTACCTATAGTTTTTAGTCCCCGATGCCCCATCATGTGCTGCACCCGCAGGTAAACTATTACTAGAACTACTTTTACTACTGGCTGACACTCCTACAGAATGTAAAGAATGCTCAGAAGTGACTGAATTACTCTTACTACTATCACCACCTAAACAAATTTCCAAATCAGCAATTGGTGTTACAGATATCTTGGAAAATATTAAAACAAAAAAAAAGCAAATTGGAAATTGAAAAAACACTGTTTTAACCTGTTGTGTCATCTCCATCTGCAAGTCCATCAGCTATAGCACTCTCCTCATCACCTAATGCACTTTCAGTATCACAGGAATCCACCATAAGAATTTTTTTCATCTTACGATAATTCAAATTATCAAGATCTCTTACAGCAGCTTTGGTTCTGATAACGATAAAAAAAATTAATTGAACTTTATAATAACTATGCATTTTACATTGAAACAAACAGAAAATATTATTGATAAACAAAGTTAACTTTAACTATATTCAGATTTATAAAAAAAAAGTTATCATACCGATGAATTAAATCTACTAAAACAGTTGGAGAACGAGGCCGAGTAATTAATTGATGATTCAAAAGCTTGGATGATGTCGGTCTATGAGTAGGCGATTTTTGCAGACAAAGCTCAACAAAATGCTTGAACACATCAGACCAGTCAGGAGCCTAAAAGAATATATATCTATTATATTAAAAAGCTAACACAGTTATAAAAGAAGCTGAAAGAATAAATATACCTGTAAAGGTGGTGTTTCATTCTGAGCTATATGATAAAGGGCACTCATAGCATTCATATTGAAATATGGAGGTTTTCTTTCTGCTAATTCCATACATGTAATACCCAAAGACCAAACATCAACCTATTTTTGAAAATAAAAATTGATTTAATACATAAATAATAATAGATAATTAAAATAATTATTTAGCATTATCACACAAGGTAAATTGTAATAATTGATAAGTAAAATCAGTTTAGCAATATTTTAATATAAAAAAATACATTAAACTCATTACTATTTTCGAAATATAAAAATAAGTTTGCCAACATAGGAAGACAATTCTAAAGCAATTACAATTAATTTAAAGTACAATTAATTTAAAGTTAAATTATGAAATTTCAACAAAAAAATGAAGTTGTATGACCACCTCTTATTTATAACTTCAAGGTAAAAAATTAAAGAATGTAGCAATAAAATAAATTAATAAAACTAATATATCGTTTCACCTTTCCATCATATTGCCCCTCATCCATAGCAAGAATAACTTCAGGTGCCATCCAATAAGGAGTTCCAACAAAGCTATTGGCAGGACATTTTATGGCAGCACTTCCAAAATCCGCTAATTTTACAGTTCCATTCTCAGTCAATAAAATATTGCCTGCTTTAATATCCCTAAATAGTGAGCATATTATAGTAAACTAATAAGTATAACAAATATCGTAACTACAGTGAAAAGCAAACCTATGAATTCTGCCAAGGGCATGAAGGTAAGATAGTCCTCTTAGAACCCCATCACAGATAGCAGCAATTTCTTCCTCTCTTAAAGGCCGTTTATGTACCTTTAATTTTAAAAAGTCTATTTATAATATGCATGTATAAAAATAATTTATGCCAAAATATTTAGTAAAATATACTTCTAAAATATCACTAGCCGAGCCGACACAATATTCCATTACAAGCCATGCTGTATTATCTCTCAAATAACAGCCTTTGTATTCTATAGTATTCGGATGATTTAACTGTTTTAAAAATCTGAAACATAAAAACAAACAAATATTATGAATATCAAAAATGAATAAATCAAAAGACATTTCCTCAATATACTTTATCATTATAAATTTATTAATTTTCTTTATTTTTGAATGTTTACTTTGAATATCAATTTTAAATATGATGGTAAATTAGACTAACCAGTCTTATTTTTTTAAACAAATTTAAATATTTTTGTTATGAATGGCACTGCAAATAATCTTTAGTATTACTTCTTAGTTTAATAAAAAAATAAATGTAAATGTAAATCTGAATAAAATGTAATTATTAAGTTATACTAACAAAAACGTGCATAAAATATAAATGAACAAAATAAAAGACCTGATTTCTTTCAAGATATCTTGCCACTTTTCTTGGCTCTGCTTGCCCAAATAAGACATTTTCTTAATGGCAACAATTTCTCTTGTGACATTACATCTGGCATAATAAACAGCACCAAATGAGCCATGGCCAATTTCACGAAGATCTTCAAATATTTTATCAGGATCTTGTTTGTGAAATAGTTCTGCTATATCAGGATCTTTCAAGCTCCCTGGTCTTGGCACAGATGGCATTTTGAAAACCCAATTCTTTTTATATTAGATATATTCAGTGTTTCACAATATCCATTTTTACTTGTGATATTTCATTCTACCTGGAGCCACAAGCTTTAAATTAGTTCATATATATATTTAACTCAGGATTAATGTGCAATATGACAGATGTTTTAACCCTTCAAATATTAGCACAAAGTAATTTCAAAGCAAATAATTATTGATGATTTTAAATAAAGGTCTTTCAAATTATTGTTCAATTACTTTATTTTATAAATAAATATTGACAAATTGACCCACCTAGTTAATTTCCTAAAATAACAACTTATATTTTACAATGTTTTTAAACCAAGAATGGAACTACGCTACTCTTTAAAATTCAAATATTTTCGAATATTTCCATTGCATATTATTTATCACTTTTTATCATGAAATATTAAACATAATTCCAAACAATGTATTGTCAATTGCAAATTACTTGGGAACATCGCCTTCAAAATGGCGTTTAGGAATACTTGGGTTATTGTACGCAATATTTAAAAAACAATGGTATAATACAGGTCTAAAACACTTAATAACTAAAAAATATAACAAATTATAAACAACAAGTACTATTTACACATTATAACAAAGTATATACGATCATCATTCCTTTACATAAAATATTAAAATAAGTAATGTAAATACTTTGTCACATACGCGAAAGTTACACAACTACTAGCGACCTACAATTGATTACGATTGAAATAGGAACTACCAGTTGTCCGCATAATTCAAATATTTTCACTTCATTTTAAATTTAGATCTTTTTAAACATTTTAGCGAATCCCTTAAATACTTTTTACAGAGTCAACCCACGAAAAAATAATTTATTGATTCATAAATAACATATGTATTTAAAAATCTAGACAAACATTTTTTTATACACAGATATTTGTTTATACAAATGTACAAATTTTACTTTATTGACATGTAATATAATAAATGTTACTTTAATATTTCTTAAATAAATGTGAAATAGCACAAGTAAACATTTTTTTGAATTTATTAAACATTATACTGTTGACCACAAAAAATATAAATCAATAGTTCTGCTGCATTATCATTTACCATCAATGGGAATAGCAGGTCTTTTATTTGTATACACTAGTTATTTTGTTAGATTAGTAGATAATTTTAACGGTTGTAAATACAAAATATCAACAAGAATTAAATATGTTTTATATTATATTTTTAATTATTTATATTATTTAATCTTATCAGTAACACATAAACTTGCCACTTTTCTACTTGCAGGCATTAAATCTTTATATATGATGTTAAATGATTAAATAGCCACTAGCTACCTAAGCCATAAGTATTGAAGCTATTTTTAACAGTTGCTTATTAAATAATATAAATTTCCAATTATAATAATGATAATTTTCTTGATTCTCTTATACTCCAAGCATTATCAATACCAAGAACTTTCAAAAAACATAGATCATTCAGGTAAAGGTTGCATTAATGATTCTATTAAATTATTGCCATTAATTATTTTTGTTGTTGCTATCACAAACTCTACATTGTTTTCTTCCTGTTGTGATAAAAATCTCAAAGCTGATATTTCTGCATATGTGCAGCCTCCCAAGAAGAATACTAATATTACTCTTGAAGAATCACTTTGTGAATTTTCTGATTGAATAGATTCTCTGCGAACTTGAGATGGCACTGAAGAAATTTGCTCCTCAAATAGAGGACCAGGTAGAACGCCTATTGTATCTTGTAAACCTGTTATAAAAATTATATGTCTTATTATAAATTTATAAGATAAAATCTATATTGGTTAAACTTTTTTTACTTAGCCAATTTTTATTTCGAACTATATGCTCTACTAATCTTATTGAAAGAGGTGCATAGATACTATGGACATAACTAATATCAGTAGGTGTGAGTTCTGATGTATCCTGCATTGTTAGTCGTAATGTCTGAAAGATTCATTAATAAAACGTTCAGTTTAGCACTCTAAAATAAGAATTAAGTATATAATATATTACTTTTCTGAGAACTGCATACTGCCTTGATCCCGTTTGCATTCTCAACAACCCACATTTTTCCAAATTGTTTAGAGTGAGAAATGTATTTATACCATAAACATGTACTAGTTCTCGTTTATAATATTCTAGAACTTTCTGTTTTAATCCTGAACCAGTTAAAGACTGCAAACATAGCAAACGAAGAACTTTAATTAACTTTTTTGACTGTGCTATAAGATCTTCCACGTATGGATTCGGTTTTTCAGTATCGATGCAGCTTAAAAATTCCTGCTCACATTGTAAAGTATCCATAAAATTGAACGAATCTGTTTCCTATGAATACAACAAAATATTTATACAGCAAAAACTAAATAAACAAGAATATTATAAATACTTACTTCTTTAATATATTCTGCAATTGCAGTATGTGTAGCCAAAGCTTGTTTACTTGCAAGCATGTCAGGTAGTTTTGCAACAAATTGTTTAATTTCTTGAACAGATTTATCTTTATGCCTTTCTTCGAATTGGGATGCAATGGATCTAGCTTGTTTTGATAAAGCTGACCCTACCTAAGTTAAAATTATTGTTTAATTCATCATATGCAATATTATATATATATATATATATATATATATATATATATATATATATATATAATACTCACAGCATTGAAATTTTTGTCTCTTAATTCAGAGAATAGTTCATCAGCCGAGTTTAACACAATTAACTTTGTGTCTACATTTAAATTTTGTGCGGAGTTATCATTTTGATCAGAATGAAATTTCTGAGCAGGAAAAGAAGCTGTGTTATTTGAAATCCCATAAAACTCATCTGAAAATCAATATTTTAAATTGATAATTCATTTTTCAATGTAACAAAATAAGTAAAATATTTACCTATAAGCCCTTCATATGTAAGTTGAGTAATTAGAGGACTTATGAGATCGGTTGATCTTTCAATAATTAGTAATTGATCAATAGAGGACTTTGTTTGAGAAAATTCTTCCAATTTTGTCATTCTTTTCAAGTGCGTCATTAACTAAAAATGTATTAATATTTTTTTTGTTAATTTTGTAGTTGCAGTTGAATTGAACTTGTAGTTTTGAATAACATGCCTGATTAGCATATTGACCTTTCCCACATATTTTATTAAATTGTCCAAACATTCTCTGGAGAGACATAAGAGCTAGTGCAGATTGGTGGATACAAGTTGGATCATTCTCAAGATATAATTCCCTATTTGTTAAAAAAAAGTAGATTATTTAAAAATTGACATTTTTCCAAAAAAATAAAGAAAGAATTAACATTTACCTAAATGAACATGGCAGTTCCATTGAAACTAAATCATTATCCAAAGGAAATAAATGGCATTTAAATTCAAAAACATTTGTGAGACTTCCATAAACTCCTTTATTTTTAAGACGCTCTATACATAAAATACTTTTTCTAGGAACAAAAAATAAATGAAATTCTCTTAATAACGAACCTGAAATTAACGTATATGTGAAAAACAATATAAATAGTAAGCTGCCAGTAAAGAAATGCCATTTCAACTGACCATTCAAATTCTCTCTATCGTTCTTTAATATGTTCATTGCTATTATATCCATCATCTCCTCATTTGGTCTTGTAATAAAAATAACATGCCGTACTTGTCTATCAGAAATATTGGGAAATACATCCTTTCTTAAATGATACATTTTTTCTACATCACGTAGCATTGAATATTTAGCCACTAAACCCACTGGACCAGCCAATGATTCATCCCAAATAATTACCTAATACAATAATAGTTATAATTATAAAAGAAAACATTCAACATGTAAATTAGGAAAACATTTCTCTTATAAAAGAAAATTCAATAAATTACTTTTTTGCCATCACATGCATCAAGCAAAGATAACAACTCGTTTCTATATGTTTCTTGTAAATAGGCTATATTAAGCCTTCCTCCGGATAAATATGAAGACATCGTAATATTTTAATTTTTACTTTTTAATAAGTAAAAATTGTTATATATGTTCTTTACATATACGCCTTTTTTACTGAGGTATTAAAGACATTCTATTTTGATTATTTGAAAATAATTTATTAAACTATTTATTGTAAATTTCTATTTTGAAAACAAGTCCACTTTTTTAAACTGTAAGAAATAAATTCAATTATTACATACATTACATATATTATAAGTTTTAACAATTAAACGATAAAAATCTTTAAATTTAAATGTCAAATTGACATTAGTATTCGAAAATTTAGTATTGCCTGCCTTGACAAAATTATCACATTTTGTACATTACTCTGAAGTGATGAAGATATTTAATTTGACATTCGAAATGTCAAAAATAAAATAGTTTTCAAGGTTTCAATGTCCTAATTATTTATGTAGTCTTTATTTAAATTTAATTGTAACAATTATTTTTTCATAATCTATCATATTACTTATTTTCAAAAAAGTATAGTTAGTGCTACCTTTATCCTGCTATGTTATAGAACAATATACTGATCTAATTTATATTTTCTTCTTATTTATTCACTGACTAAACTAATGTTTAGCATTATAGGAAAAACAATAAATTTTTACTTTTTTTATATCGTGAAGTAAAGAAAGCTGCTCAAGGTTCCAAAGACTGACTAGGAATAATATTGCATCTTGCATATATGACATGGCATCCTCAATTTGTTGAATGTTAGAATTTTAACTAATTATGGTTTGAAAGCATATTTGAAAACAACTTCTGCAACTATAAGGTACCGAAAAAATAAGAATCATCTAACAAAACAATAGCTGATTGAAGTTTGTTTCTATAATCCTATATATAAAAATTGAGTTTTATTATACATTAGAAAACTTAAATTACTTACTTTCTAGCACTATATAAGAAGCAAAAAAAAATTTGTGCATAACTATACAATTGTTTATATTACCAAGAGACATCTAGCAATAAACTATAATTATAAATCAAAATTTAAATAAGTTTATAGTTAATGCTACAAAAACATTATTAATTCAATTCTGACAAATGGCATAAACTATGGGAATCAGCTTCCAAGTTAATGAATTATTAAAAGAAATTTAAATATGTTCCAATTCAATAAATTGGTTGATTTATAAAGACTCCGGCATTGGAACAGTGAACGATTAAATACAAACTTATTCAGACAAGTACCTACGCCACCTCAATGATCGCCCTAACAGACTTGTCAGAACATTACCAGGGACTGATTAAAAAGAAAGTTCATTATAAATTAACCTTTCATCAATAGATAAAATCATCACCTAGTAGCTGTCAATGGTCAGATTATTTTGTATTTTATTAGATTAATTAGATTATTTTAGGATTCATTCTTATTCCTAATATTTTGCTTGTTCTTTTTTGGGCAGCTTAAAAAAGAGTTAATGCTGCAATTAACATTGACCTTGTTGAAAAGCCAATCTTTGGCTTTAGAATTAAAAAAAAAAAATATCTTGTTTTATTTCAATATTTTCAAAAAGTAACTTAGATAATTCAAGAAAATTTAAATTATTTTCAGAGATAGCTGTTTGGTTATTATAGTTAATAATAAAATGTTATAAAATTTTTCATTAAGTTTATTATATATATATAGAAAATACTTATATATAATAAGGAGCTAGTTTATGACTACATATTAAATATAATATTACCATCACAAATATAAATATATTTACATATGCAATATAATCAGTTTTAATACTTATTGGTTGCTTAGGAATCACAATATATTTTCATAAATCAGTTCATAACAAAAATATATTTCTTAATCACGCTATAACAATTGATCACAAGAGCATTCCAGAAATAATTAAATTTAAATTTAAAAAAGTAGAAAAACTAAATTACTTTATATATGTCCGAACATATTCTGGTGTTATATAAACATCGTTCTCTGAAGTTGTATCAATTAATGTCAGACTTATTATTTTGTCGGAGGCATTCAGTTCATCAGCATCAATGCTGTTAATTTTGGCAACAAAAACTTTATCACACACCCGTTCCTGAAAACGTAGGCATTCTTCCACACTCCAGTCTGCTATTATTGGAGTTTCTCCTAAAACCATTACAATAAATAACAATGATTTTTAGAATGATCTTAGTATGTTATATTAATGTAGAAAGGTATGAACAATAATAAAAAAAAAAAAAAAACATTACCGAATAAAATATTAAATTCAACTTAAATATTCAAATTGTAGTTTAGATAGCATTTAAAATAAAGCTAGATAATCAAAAGGTGTAAAACAAAATTAAATTTGCCTGCTTTACCATGTGCTCTTGTCTTCTGTATTTACTAACATCACCAAAAACGTAAGTTTTATATTTTATTAAAAATAGCATGAACTTTGCAATGAATTTTATATCACAACTAAATACTTAAGTTATGGCGCAGTAAAAAATGTGTATACCAATCATACCAAAAGGATTATAATATTATCTTTATCTTACCTCCTAATCTGGCTCTCAAGGCATTGTATGGCATTTTTAAAAATGGCGGTGTTAACCTTTGCAAGTTTTTGTAACTCATCACATTATAATCCCCATAATCACAGAAATGTACAGTTACTGAATTATTTCTCATAACATTAGTGACTTGTACTCTATAAAATAAATATTGAATCGAAACTTATCCAGCTAATTGGTAAGTAAATAATAAATCTTTATACCTATACCAAACTCCATCAGTGTGCTTTCCAGCATATAAATTTCCTTTCTCAATTTCTTCATATGATGGGTTTGAAAAAGGGCTGCTATTACACAAGACCTGCAAATCTTTCATAAGCCTTTTAAAATCACGATAGCCATCATCAGTGAATGGCTGTACCTATAAATAAAAATTATAAATTAAAGCGAAAAGATTTTGTTGATTATTAATTGATTACAAGAAAAAATATGATGGAAGATGTTTGAAAACTACTGGAAATCAAACAGGAATACAAATGTTGTAAATAAAAATATTTGTAAGGATACTTTAATATTTTCTGCACAATTTAACAAATCAAAATTTTTCTCCATCAAATTATTTCTGATGCAATTGAAAATTAATACATATATAAACAATATCAATAGTAAGAAAAGTAGTTGCTAAATTAACAGAAGTATTTTAATGTATATAAGATAATATAATGTATTTTATATATACCACAAAGTTTGATGGGCTAGCAGCCATAGTAACAATC